TTACACATACTGGGGCCTATCAGTAAGAAAATCAAGAATCCAGTTGCACAAAGCAGTGGTAAAGCCTAAAATGCCCAGTTGGTCTACTAAATGGTGATGAATTATTGTATTAAATGCTGAACTGAAGTAGATAAAGAATATTCACACATTGCTTTCCTCAAAGTGTGCCAATCTCAGATGGAGAACAGAACAAATAGCATCCTCTGTAGAGCAATTCTCATGGTAAGCAAACTGAAATGAGTCAAATGCTGGAGCAAGGCTGGATATAATAAGGTCCTTTTTCAGCTTTTCAGAACATTTCATCATGATGGATATAAGTGCAACAGACAATAATCATTAAGACCCATAATTGTAGACTTTTATGTCATTGACCAAATGATGGCAGTCTTAAACATGATGGGACCACTACCTGCTACAATGAAAGATTGAAATATCTGTAAGAACACAAGCCAACTCATATGCATATTCCCTAAGAACATACCCAGGGATATTATCCAGGCCTGTTGTTTTCCAAATGGTAACTTTCAGCAGTGTCCTCCAGACATAGATAACATCAAAGTTAAGCACTTGCTTGTCAGGATGGGACACAGCTTTCCTCACAGAAGTGCTATTTGATGCCTCAAATCTTTCAAAAAATGTGTTCAGCTCATTTAAAAAGTCTGTTTCACCCTTACAACACGATGTAGCCACCTTATAGTCTATACTGGCCAGGATGCTTTGCCACATATGCCTTGTGTTCATACGGTCCTGAAAAAAGAAGTTACCAGTAAACCTCTTTTAACGGTTCCTTCCAAGTTAATCTCTGTATTTCTTTATAGATATGAGTTACAGTATGTTCTTATTAGAAGGCATGAGGTTAGAAAGTGGGAGATCATCAATTCAAGTCCCACCTTGGCCGTGAAAGCCAGCTGGGGTTACATATTCTGACAAAGTGCAACTTCCCCTTAGGAATTTGGTGAATACAGGTAATTTCCAGGTTATGAGTATTTCCTTAGCAAATGTTTGAAGTTTATTTTTATTTTTATTTTATTAGATTTCTATACCGCCCTTCTCCCGAAGGACTCAGGGCGGTGAACAGCCAAAGGATAAAACACAAGAGTACAAAATTTAAAATAAATTAAAACCGATTAAACAATTTGGCTCAATTTTAAAAATATCCCATAATTAAACAAATTAAAATTAGTATTTAAAATTTTAAATTTTAAATTTTAAAAAGGAGAAGATTTAGGCCAGGCCAGCTTGATGGAATAAAAACGTTTTAAGCGCGCGGCGGAAGGTGCGCAGGTCCGGGATCCTCCGTATCTCCGGGGGGAGCTCGTTCCAGACTGTAGGTGCCCCCACAGAGAAGGCTCTCCCCCTGGGGGCCGCCAGTTGACATTGTTTGGCCGACAGCACCCGGAGGAGCCCCTCTCTATGGGAGCGTACTGGTCGGTGGGAGGCTATTGGTGGTAGCAGGCGGTCCCGTAAATAACCAGGTCCTAAGCCATGGAGCGCTTTAAAGGTGGTAACCAGAACCTTGAAGCGCACTCGGAAGACCACCGGGAGCCAGTGCAGCTCGCGCAGGAGAGGTGTTACATGGGAGCTCCACGTTGCTCCCATAACCACCCGCGCAGCCGCACTCTGCGCCAGTTGGAGCCTCCGAGTGCACCTCAAGGGGAGCCCCATGTAGAGAGCGTTACAATAGTCCAGACGAGAGGTGACGAGGGCATGAGTGACCGTGTGTAGGGAGTCCCGATCTAGAAAGGGACGCAACTGGCGAATCAGGCGAACCTGATGAAAAATCCTCCCGGTCACGGCCGTCAAGTGCTTTTCTAGAGACAGCCGTGAATCCAGGAGGACGCCCAAGTTGCGAGCCCTTTCCGTGGGGGCCAATGATTTGCCCCCAATAGTCAGCGATGGTGCCAGCTGACTATATCGGGACGTCGGAAACCACAGCCACTCAGTCTTGGATGGGTTGAGCCTGAGCCTGTTCCTCCCCATCCAGATCCGTACGGCCTCCAGGCACCGGGACATCACTTCAAGGGCATCGTTGGGGTGGTCAAAGTTACGTGATAAGTGCCCCTAGATTTACGAACAAGTCTTGAAATTATGAATATTGCAGCACCACAGCAGTTATATGAATAACCGCAGAGGCTATGCAACAGTCACCCCATCTATTCCCCCTCGCCCTTGGTTGGGTCTTTAAAGGCACTTCGCTTACCTTGCGAAGATCTTCTTTCTGTTGTGCATTCTTTGCCTGCTTCATTGCTTCAGGCTTTCGGTGCATTCGCAGAGAACAGAGTAGCGTGAGATCTTGTGCTACTGATCTTGTGTGATCTTGCACTTTAGGCCTCTATTCTCTGCAAATTGAGGCCTGGACCAGTAGTGGGTTTCAATTTAGTTTGCTACCGATTCGCTCATGCGTGCACGCTCGTGTGGTGTGCGATGGTTCTGTGCATGTGCAGAAGCATCTGGGTGGGTGGGCAGAGCCTCCCGCCGCCGCCGCCACCACCAGTTCGCCCAATCCGGAGTGAATCAGTAGCAACCCACCACTGGCTTGGATGTTTGCAAACGGAAGAAAGGCTACGGTCGTTTAGGCCTTCCCTCCATTTGCTATTTTCTTGCTGAACCCTGCAGGGAGATTGGATTCCTGTAGGGTTTGGCAGCCCTTTGCACCAGCGAAGCTTGGGAGGAGTGTCCCTCCAAAGCTCTGTTCCTACCAGCAAAGGCTTTTTAAAAGGGCTGCCTAAAGGGACACAATCTTTAAGTACTTTGCTGACAAGAAAGGAGGCCCAGTGGGGGCTTCTGGGCATCCTTTCTCACTGGAGATCTGCTTTATGAGGCCTATGGCAATGAAAAATGAGGCCCAGAAGGTTGGAAGCCTCGTGTGGAACTCCAGTGAGAAAGGAGGCCTGGAACACTGCACGTGACCCTCCAGGCTTCTTTTTTCATCACTGGAGGCCTCGTCAAGCCCTTTGCTGATGAGAAAGGAGGAAATAGGCAAAGAAACAGGCTGGAGAGGAGACAACTTCATAACTTCATAAAATAGTAAGTCACCCAGCATGGCAGGATGGGGGAGAAGCAATAGTGGGGACTCCAGGGGAGGGAGAATGAGGTATATGTGGGTTGGGGGAGGTCTTGGGTGGTCTGAAATAGGTGGCCTCTTCCATCACTACCCCCCCCCAATAGCTTTCTCTGCCCCAAGATACCTCATGTCCACTTAACGAGCCGTGCATTTGATTATTGAATGCATGGGCGAAAGCAGAGAGTGATCTTGTTCAAAGTACGAGATTCACTGCCACAAATCCTAGGGTTATGAATGGAATGGGCAGGCTCTTAACTAAAGGACTACCTATACCAGCAACTTAATCATAATTATAGCAAATCCTCTTGAGACCTGGAAATCTCAGTCACACAGTACAATTCCCCAACACAAACCCCTCATCCAAAGTTCACCTAGATGCACAAAGAGGACAAAAATCACCACATTCCGCAAGGTGAAAAAATGACATTTCCTTCTTATGGATTTCGCACATTCCCCCAATGCAAACTCACTAGCTGACACTTTCATATATTTCACTAAACAAAGAACCAACTTCCCAGTAAATATTACTGTCTTTGGCATTTCAAATTGTAATTACCTTTGATTACGGTATGTCAGTGTTGTTCTGTCAAATAAACTTACCCTTCACTTAATGTAATTGTCCTATGTGCCCATTCATGACCAGCTTTGAATGAACCAAAAAAATTCTTATAATTTAGAGACCATGAAGGGATTCTGACACTAAACTGGCAAGCAGACCTAGCATGGGTAAACATCACCTAGCTGGCACCAGACTCTTTGCCTGGAAAGTCCTACCCATGGCTTTACCTGCCCCAGTATAGGTAGTAAAGGGAGTTTTGTCTTTTACCAAACAGCTGCTTGAACCAGAGATTCCTAAGTTGGTAAGTTCCTCACAAAATTCATTACTTGTGTTTAATGATTGTGTGTGCACATACCATAAAAACATAAAAACCTTTTATGTTTTTCCCACTGCTGCCCATAACTTCCACCCCAGCTCATTCTCAGTTGTACCTGAAGTCTTGCAAACTTGTGTCAGGCCATAACCCAGAGATGTTGAAAAACAAAGGAGTTTTACAGGAGTTTTGAAGGCTCCAGCAGATTGAGAAAGGAATTGTGTTATCTGGCAGTTGCCAGCCTAGTTTCTGACTGTTAAAGACTCCTCTGAGTGCCTGACACTCAAAACCTGGTAAGTAGAAAGGAACGAGATACCCATAATCTACTGAGAGAGTTCCTCCCTATCCCGAGTGCTGGACTTTTGAGCATTGTAGGTAGGCTAAATATAAATTCCTGTACTAGGGAATCTTTCCAGGTGTGCATGATATCTCAAACAGTTGGGACAGGCATGTCAGGTAGAGTCAATGGGAAATCCCTCGTTTTGCCATTTTCCTGTTTGCCTGAGACAATGGAAAATTGCTGTCCAAGCAGAAATGAAGAAAAGCATGATGGTTGTGGAGTGAGTAGTCAAAACTCGAGACAGCTAGTAATAAAATTTGATTAAAAGTACTTTCAACTATAATGCATTAAAAATAGGGCAAAACTCAAACCATCTCACCTTCCATATTGGGGTTGCGGACCGAGCTCTCTGATCCAGTCACCACAGTTCTCAAACTAGACACTCACATTACCACAGCCTGGACTGCAGAGCCAACTCAGAGCCCCTCCCACTTGCCCAGAATCAAGTGGTTGGAACAGAAGAATAATGGAAAAATAATGGCACCTCTCCTTCAGAAACCTAGGTTTGTCTGGGCCTGAGGATGAATGAAATACATCATCACCCACACCCCCTTCTCACTGTCCAATTCAGTAATTTGAAAAAAAAGGACAACCCTGCCTTCCAGTTAGATCCCTAGACAATTATAAGAACCTGGCAAACCATGATAGAGAGCCTTATCCTTTGTGAGGAGATATGATGTAGCTTTTGAATGTTGTCAGGCATAAATAACCAGACCTACATGCATAAGGTTAAAACTTCCAATTTTATTATATTCTGCCTATTATATAGGATTTTTTTCCAGACTGTCAACCTTAGCCAGGGAACAGTAAGATAAGATTCTATGGAACTTAAGGGGGAGGTCAGTTCTGGACTTGCTGGCTGCACAATGACTCAGAACTAATTCCACATTTGAGGTCTTCCTCCTGCCTGGTTGGGTGTTTCCCAACTTCACTCCTTCCCCATAGTAGCCTCCTCCTCCTTTCATGTCATCTTCATTATCTGCATTCTCATAGGAACTTGGGAGGGAGTGATGCCAGTTCAAAAGAATCCTTCTGCTCTCGTGACTGAAGAATCTGCCATGCTGGGTGGTGCATCCTGCAAAACATCTAGATGATTACACATTCCTCCCCACTTTCTTTCGTTGAGCCCCATCTCATTTCCCTCTGGAGGGGCTTCTTCTGCCTGGCTAACCTCTTCACATACTGGGTCTTTCTCAGGCTCTGGGGTGGAGCTGGGTGTTAGGAATTTAGAAGGCTGCAGTTTGTCTGGGAATCACTAGTTGAACTGCTGCATCAATTCAGGAACATGCAATTGCCTCTTTTTAATAAATTTACAGACATTTCTAAAATTCTGTTTTTACTTTGTCATTATGGGTACTGAGTGTAGATTAATTAGAAAAAAATGAATTCCAACAACTGTAGAATCAGGCTGCAGCATAACAAAATTGACAGAAGTGAAGGGGGTCTGAATACTTTTTGAATGTACTGTATATGTCATTCCCAGAACCCTGATCATGCCATATCCAGCCACCATTATCACTGTGATTCCTGCCTCTGCCACTTATCATCCTTGAGCTATGCACTATCTCCAGTGGATCCCACTTTGCAATATTTCTTTGCCTTCACATTGGAGGACTAACAACATATATGGAAGACACAACTCCCACAGGGGTACACCAAATCACCTACTCTCTTCTCCCAGATCCTGAAAGCTTGGGAAATACAGTGTCTTTCATCTCTCTGCTTTGTGATTCTGCCTTCAATATGTTGTATACGGTGCAGAGAAATAAGTTTTATTTCTGACATAATTGCTGTTTGGTACAGTGTGGAATTATAAAAAGAAATAGACAAAGACCACATTAAACTATGGACACAAAAAACAAAGGAACAACCAGTATCTCTTGTTCATTTTCTTGTCAATATTCACATTACTCAGTCTCAGAGTCAACCTTTAACTGCTGAAAATTGGCTGTGGAATTACATTCCACCAATCATTCTTCTAAAATACCATCAGTAATAAATTTCAAAGCAAAGCACAATGCATTGAGACATATCTATTTGCTGATTTGCTTTTTGAAGGTGAGCTATGGAATTTCACTTAAATATTTGGAGTGAGAGATCAATTTAATCAACAGTCTTGCTAGTAGAATTCAGATTTGGGTGATTTTAAACCAGTTTAGCTTTTTCAGTCTCTGTTCAAAGTAATTGGAATGCATGTATGCAGATCACTAATAAATATTTTAAGTCTTTATAATCCTTATTTACTCATTCTTATCACAACTCTTGTGTGCAGATTTTAAAAAATGAATATTCCTAGAAAGGCAGAAAGATAATGGTGAATAAAATTCAAAAGTTAATTATCAGTAATATAAGGAACCTGAGGTGTTTGATGGTACAGGGAAGATGAAAGAGGATCAAATCACAAAAGTATGTGATGAGAAGTGGGATGTTCAAAAACATCAAACATTTAAAAGGCAATGAAGGAATCTACATTAGCCTATATAAGAGATAATTTTTTTTTAAAAGATAGAAAATTATGAACAAGCTAGTTTTAGGCATATTGTCTTTTCATATTTCATGTCTTGTAATTTGTGTTAGCATTTATTGTTTTTGCGATTTGCTAACACCCACATCTTAAAATCAAATAGCACCCAGGCTATGCACTATATATATCAGTGCTTAGACATAAAAGAGGGAGGTTATATATCTTCCAGGTAACGATATAGAACATAAGCATTCATGACCTACAAATACCCTTCCCCTTTGGTGTTTTATTTCTCTTGAATCATGGTTGGAGATCTCTTGCCATTCAAGAGACTTTTGCTAAAAAAATTTCAAGAGGAAGTCACGCGCGCAGCGTCTGCTACCATCCTCCTTAAACGCTTTGCACCTTTGGAAACTTTCAGCAGTGAGCACTATAGTCGACCTTAACGCGCTCCCAACTCATTTACTGCTTCCATCCATGTAATGTCCGCTTTGCAGATTGCCACTCCGATACCAAGAATTACAAAATTTTGACAGCCGCTTGAAACACTCTGCGCAGTCGTATTTAAGTACTGAACTTGCCTATTTGCTTACGCATGCGTATGAGCCTCTGGTTGGTGAAGGTTTTTTTTTTTTTTTTAGTATTTTGAAGGACTGAGGCGCAAGCGCACTTCTATTGTCTTTCAGAGGGTTCCGGGAGTTAATAGTGATCCGGGTGAGCCACGGCAAGACGATCTTTCGGGGGTTGCTTTCATTTGATTCTCGCTGTCTTTATTTGACAAGGGTAAGTGCATTTACGATTTGATCTCGTAATACCGAGAGGGAGATGGATCTTGGCCTTTGAAAGTTCAGGACCTGGATTGTTTGAGGTCTTGATAGTGAAACGTTCTCAAGGTTATATCAAAATGCAATGATTAGAGCCGAAGTCAATTTTTGCATACAAAATAGATTTCTTTAGCAGATAAAGCGGGGGAGAAAACGATTATTCTATTTACGATAGCTCTTTCTTTGCTGCTTTAATAGTTATAAGTCGATGCGTGGGATGTGGCCCGATTTTTTTTTTTTTTTTTGGCTCAGTGGCTAGAAGATGGGTGTGGAGAATCCATCAGCAGCGAAAATAATAATTACTGGCATGCATATTCCACGTATAATTGACCGTGGGATTTTTATGATTTTATTTATTTGTTTATTTTTGTGGTCTTAGGATGCTGCTATGTTCATGGAATCATAAACAAGCCAACCATCCTTTAGCTTAGCATGCTATGGCAGTTTTGCCAGTATGGTGAGTTTATCATTCAGTATGTGCAAACCCAAAAAATTAGATTGAGTAACAGCGTTTATACAAACCATAGATAATAGGTTGTGCAATATTTGAAAAAAATAATAATAAAAGCTATCCAAGTATAGTCTAACAAACTTACAGCATCAGGTTCCTCTTTAATTTTTCTGGATCTCTCAACAGGTTTTTATATTTAGAAATTACCAGATTTTGATCATTTGGAAGACCCAATTAACATTTAAAATATATGGTTGTATACAAATATTGTTGGAGGTACAGTAATTTAAAAGGCATTACATTTCCTTTTCTGTGCTCCTGTACAACTTACTGAACAATTGAAATTTGGTCCTCAGTACTTTTTCCTGCACATGTTCTATTTTATGCTATTTTATCCTTGTTCCATTCACATTTATTATAATTCATTTTGTAATGTATGATTTCCAAATAAGGGAAAATATTGAAAAATGATTGCAGAAGGAAGAGGATTTGACCTGTTATAATACATGTTACTACAGTTTACAAATTAATATATTTTAAAGCTGATACTTTATATATTGTACAATACTGTATCAAATTGGTAAGATGTCTAAAGGATGTTACTTTATGTTAATTGCCATTGTTTTTTTTTCCCCGTAAATTTATTTGCTGCCCATCTTGCTGTGGGATACTCTGGGCAGCTTACAGCAATAAAATGGGGGGGGGGGATAAAATATAAAAAAATAAAACCATATAAATAAACAATGGAAGTACAATAATATGAAATTAAAAAGATGATCAGAAAGGGAACAGAAAGCACAGGAGGAGAGATGGTGTCAGCTAATTAGTCTGGCAGCCACCTCTAGTGATGTACTCCCCCATTGACTCCCTCTGTCCAGATGGCAGAGCCAGGTTTTCATGCTCTCATGGAAAGAGAAGAAGGTGGAGGCAAACCTCACCCGGGGAGCAGGATGTTGCTGAGAGCTGATACTACAATAGAGAAGGCTCAGTCAGAATTCCTTGACCAATGGGATCCTCAGCAGGCTTGTTTGCTGGCATGATCAGGGCAGACTTATTTTAAGCGGGATGAGATGGGTCATCAAGTAGTTTGAACCTATGCCATGGAGGACTTTAAAGGTCATAACCAATAGCTTGAACTGCATCAGTAGCCAGTGCAGCTCAAAAGCAGTGGTGTAACATGTGCCATTCTATAGGCCCCCAAGACTGCTCATGCTGCTTGTACCAGTTAAAGCTGATAAATGCACTTCAAGGGTAATCCCACATAAAGCACATTGCAGTAATCCAAATGAATGATAACTAGGATATGTGTGACTAAGTGCAGGGGTCCCGATCCAGGAAAAGCCACAGATGGTGCATAACTGAAGTTATGCAAAGGCTTTCCAAGACATGACTGCAATCTAATTTTAATGCAAAAATCATAAGTCCAGGAGAACTCCCAAGTTGCAAAGTGGTTCTGAACAGGGTAGTGCAATAGAACTAAAGGTGTCAAAGACCCAGATTTTGAAGCTCCATGAACCCAAAGCAACTCGGTCTTACCAGGGTTTAGTCATAGCCCATTGTCCCACATCCAAGCCTCTACAGCCTCCAGGCATTGTGAGAGGGTAGCAACACCATCACTCAGGTCACTCAGATGTGGATATATAAAGTTGAGTTTCAGCAGCATTTTGATGATATTTCAACCCATGATCTCATTCAGTAGCTTCATTAGATGGTAAATGGGAGTGGAGAGAGTACTGAGCCCTGCAATATGCCGTAAAAGAGTGGGCAGAGGCTGATATCTTACTTCCTATCAACACTGATTGGGAATAGCCTTGAAGAAAAGAGCTAAACCAGCATAGAACTGTGCTGTTCAGTTCTAAACTCTGTAGCCGGCCCAAAAGGATACCATGGTCGATGTTATTAAAGGAGGCTGAGAGGTGAAGAAGAGCCAAGTTGGTTGCACTGTTTTCATTCCACTCTACCAGAGATCATCCATTAGTGTATGGTCCTCTGTCTCATAGCCTGGCCTGAAACCTCACTGAAAGAGGTCTAATAAATAAGTTACATCCTCTGAAGTTGCCAAATAACCACCTTATCTATCACTTCCCCTAAAAAGGGGAGAAGGGAAACTGAATGAAAATTGTCAAGGCAGTTGGTATGGAGTGAAGGTTATTTTAGGAGAGCAAATCAGGGCCTCCTTGAAAAATTCTGGGAAGGTCTCTTCTTGTAGTTAGGAATTTATCACTGCCTGAACCCACCTGCTGGTCATTGTTCTGAAGGCTTTTATAAGCTAGTGGGACAAAGGTCTAATTGACAGGTGGTTGCATTGATAGCACTGAGGATTCTGTTCATTTACTTGGAAGAAATAATGCTATTTTGCTGCTCTTACCACTATGAGTTAGGCCTTAATAGCAGTTCTATGTTTTGTCCAGCAGTACTGTAGGTATCTCTTAATCCTTTTCAAGCCTGACAGCTCCTCAGTGAACCATAGGAAGCATTGGGATTGATGGATCAAGCTAGGCTATATAGACACAACCTGTCCAGAGCCTTGGCCACCCTTTGATTCCAGGCTATTCATTACCAAGGCATTGGTAGAACTATGCAGCAAATCTTTTGTGACATCCCCCAGTTCCCTCTGGAATCCATTTGGGTTCATCAGTCTTCATTATGAGAATACTGGAGTAATTTTCTCTTGTTATCCTGTTTTTCCCAAATCTTTCTTTCAAAACTGTCTGGTTGTCTATTTGTTCTGGTGTATAAAGGTTGAATGAATCATGGCAACTGATCCAAACTTTGTTAATCTGAGATGTTTTGTTGCTCAGCTAAGCAATTTCATCAGTCAGAGCAAAATTAGTTAGGCAGAGAGTCAGGGAGTTGCTGGAATGTACCAACTCTTTCCATACCAATTTCAGGGGTTTCTCCCCAGAATGCATTGCAATATGTCAATTAAGACTCAATTATCCAGGCCAAAGGTGTGTAAAGGATGAATCATGGCAACTGGAACAAACTTGGTTAAATTTGAGATATTTCGTTGCTCATCCAAGCAACTTCATCAGTCAGAGAAAAATTAATTAGGAAGAGAGTCAGACAATGTACCAACTCTTGTTATACCAAGTCAACTCTCTGATTCTGTCTGAAGTTTGGTCCTATTGCCATGATTCAACTTTTAGACACCTTTGGCCTGGATGATTGAGTTTTCATTGACATATTTGTTCTGGTGCTTTTCTATCAGTACCATGCATGTTAATTCTTCTATTTAAAATGCCACAGTAGCACATTTATGACTGTTTTACTTGAGAATATTAGAAATATAGCAAATTACAGACAAAGTCATTCAGGGACCGCCTACTACCATCAACAGCCTCCCACCGACCAGTACGCTCCCACAGAGAGGGGCTCCTCCAGGTGCCGTCGGCCAAACAATGTCGGCTGTCGGCCCCCAGGGGGAGAGCCTTCTCTGTGGGGGCCCCGACGATCTGGAATGAGCTCCCCCCAGAGATACGGAGGATTCCGGATCTGCGCACCTTCCGCCGCGAGTTGAAGACGCTTTTATTTCATCAAGCCGGCCTCGCCTAATTCTTCTCCCTTTAAACTGTAAATTTTAAATTTTTAAATGTATTTTAAAATTATGGGTTTTTAATTAGTATTAATTCAGCCAAATTTATTTAATTAATTTTTATTGGATCTTAAATTTTGTATATTTATGTGTTTTATTTCATGGCTGTGCACCGCCCTGAGTCCTTCGGGAGTAGGGCGGTATAGAAATTCAATAAAATAAAATAAATAAAATAAAATAAATGTATGGTGCAGGTCCATGTGGTTTGGATGGGGAAAGGTCTTTCTCAGTTATCTGGGAATAATTTGGTTCTTTTGGAGCATAATCCTTTCTTCTCTCTTTTCTCCTGTGTGTCTCCTCTTTGTCTCTCATGTGTGTGTGGGTAAAGGGGGTCATATTTATAGGGTGGCTAAGCCACTCCCCCTTCAGTCCCTTAGACAAAATGGAGGGAAAGTATAAACACAAAACCATCCTTCCAGTATAGACAGTGTGGTTCAGTGGCACTGTTTTAGATAATTATCTGACAGAACAAGTCATTTCTATAAAGATCTAGCAATCTAATCTGTAAAATCCAAAGTCAGAGTTTCATTCTTTCCCACATCTAGCACGAAGTTCAGAAGCGGTTTCCATGTGGAAACAAAAGTATTTATGTACTTTTCTTTAATCAGAGTAGTCAGTTTTGCCATTCCAGCCAACTCCATCAACTTCTGCAACCATTCTTCCATGGTAGGAATCAAAGTGATCTTCCATTTTTGTATATACAATAGTCTTGCTGCTGTCAACATATATAGTATTAAAGTTCCAAATTTTTTTGTCCAGTTCTGTTTCCATTAGATCCAAAAGGAAAAATTCTGGTTTCATTTTTATCTCCATTGTCAGAATAATCTGTAATAAAATATGAATCATACTCCAAAAGCGGTTGCTTGGTAACTTCAGAGGGTGAAATAGATTATCTGGACCCCTTCCAGTCAGGATTTAGGTCTGGTTATTGGTCGCACTTGTTGATGATCTCTGGAGAGACCAGGATGGGGATAGTGCAAGATAAAAGTCAGATACTATACATGTGAAAATTTATCATATACACCAAATTATAATTTATTGCTATTGAGGTAAATCATAACATCTAGCCATGTTTGATAAAATTATGGTTCCTGTTTCTGAAATCTCATTAATAACTGACTTTTTTTGTTATGTTGCAGTAATTGTTTCTGCTGCTATAATTAAGTAGATAATCTATTTTTTTATCTTTAAAATTGAAACTTGGTCATATAAATAAATGCAATAATCCTAACTCTGGAGAGTTTTAATATTTCTATGGCCCAGAGAGATTTATGTTGACACCAAAAAGCCATGGTATCCTATCACATATCTGTTGCTCTATTTGATCTTTATTGAGAAGTTCACTATTGCTATAAAAATATTTTAGTCTATAAAGATTATATGCTCTCAACATTTTAGCCAAATCATTATAATTATCCTGATCAAAATATGTTATCAAAGGAGTTAAAGGAGAATTATCCCTTATTAGAATTGTGATTTTTTTTTCTTTCAAATTCGAAGCATTGCTTTTGTAAAAATATTTTCAGGCTGTTTTATTCTAAAAAAATGTTTTGGATGTAAAAACCATTGATTTATAACTTTATTCGACTCTGACATAGGTTCAGTTTGAATCCATTGTTTTAGAAGAGTCTTCATAATAAATGAAATCATATGCCCTAATTGTGCTGCTTGATTATATTGATAAATTGGGCATCCCCAGTCTCTCTGTTTCTGAGATCTATATATATAAAGTTATTTTGTTTATTCTCAGTTTTTTTACTTGAAAGAAGAGGCTTTCTTTTTCTTTTCTTTTCTTTCTTTTTCTTTTTCTTTTTTGACAATGTTTTAGAACCTGTTTTGGAATTGCCACTGGTTGGCAATGAAATAAAATACTCCTGCAATTCACCTTAAATATTAAAATGTTTTGAAGTCCATATTTTAATTTCATTATTTCATTTCCTGTATGTTGGTACTGTATATAATTATTTGTAAAGATTTTATGAATCCATTGTCCATTATTTTTAAGTTATGTATGCCTAACTTAATCTGCATTTTCAGGCTTTGCTGTAAGATGGAGGAGACTGACAGGGAAGCAGTTGCAACAGCTGTACAAAGGGTAGCTGGGATGCTTCAGCGACCAGACCAGTTAGATAAAGTAGAACAATATCGAAGAAGAGAAGGCCGTAAGAAAGCTTCAGTAGAAGCGCGACTGAAGGTATAGAATCATATTATTGATAGTCTTGAATTTCTATGTATATAGTGCTCTTAATGTTTTCTAACTGAGTTTCAAATGGCCTTCAAATGCCTGGTTAAATGTTATGTTATATATCAGAATAAATTTAGAAAGGCACAATTAGAATTACAAAAGTTATGGCAGAAATTATTATAATTAAAATTAAATAATTAAAAATAAAAGAAATAATGAAATTGCAAATTCAGGTAATATTAATTGTTTATTTAATAATTGATTTATTTAAATGAAATAAAAATAATTTTAAAAGATGGGAAAAATCTAATAATTGAAATTAAAAGAGATTTAGCTTAGGTTAATGAGAATAAGATTATAATTTAAAAATATGTCTAGATACAAATTGATTCTAGTTTATTAAGCCATAGTAAATTATTATTTAAGATATTATAATTCAATTTCTTTTTGCAATTGAGGAACCTATTCTTTAGTATTTCTGATTTTGTATAACTTCGAATTCGTTTAATCAATTCCTGCTCTCCCCATAGAGTATCGTGCTTCAAGTCTTTTTCTAATCACATAGCATTCACACTGATCTCCCTCATACTTATGTATCTTTTCATTTTAGGGAAAAAAGTATTCAGATATTAACTGAAGTGCAAATTAAATATAAAACAAAATGTACAAAAATGTAAATTTACATTTAATTTCTGTTGCCAATTTCATATGCAGAATGGTAGAAAATCTTACATGTGTATTCACATACATTTTAATAAACCTATAGGGGTAGCATTTATATGGGATTTATTTTTCTACGTGAAAAAGTTCCTATTTGTGTATTTACTTCCTGTTAATGATTAGCAGACTTCTTTTATTTTATTCTATTTTTTATTTTATTGAAAAGAAAGATAAAATACAAGACTCCAAAAAAGGGCGAAAAGCAAAATACACACACACACACAAACACACACACAATCAAGACATTAAAAAGTACATCAAAAAGAAAAGAAAAAAAATGCCAATACCTATACACATATCCCCCTAATTGAATACTGATTAATACTCCTACCAACACTGATGGAGTAAGCCAATACTGTATAAAAATAAGAGCAAACCCCACTTCCTTCTAGCACTGATGATATTACTTAGTTTGGTAATGAAATGTCTGCAAGAAAATCACAAAACACACATACCATCAAGGATGCCACAATTCAATCCTGAACTAAAAATCTTCTAGTTCATCAGTAATGTGTGATATTTTATTTCACATTTTAATGATAATCCTTAAATATAATATTTAATATATTTATGAATAAATGAATGAAAATTTATATGGCTGCCAACTCATTCAGACTCTGGGTGGCTTACAAAGACAAAATCCTAATATAAAAAATAATAAAAGCAATAATTGCCCACAGACCTGGTGACAACAATCAGAGAATCAAATAGCACGTAGTAATAGTACTTAGACTTATATACCGCTTCTCAGTGCTTTACAACCCTTTCTAAGTGGTTTACAGAGTCAGCATATTGCCCCCAACAATCTTGGTCCTCATTTTACTGACCTCGGAAGGATGGAAGGCTGAGTCAGCCTTGAGCCTGGTGAGATTTGAACTGCCAATTTGCAAGCAGCCGGCAGTCAGCAGAAGTAGCCTGCAGTACTGCACTCTAACCACTGTACCACCATGACACTGTCTATTGTTCTGTATGGAGGCAGCCACCATGGGGAAAGCTGCTTATCTTAGTCTCGATAGAAGTATCTCCTTACAGGGAACCCTGTCTCCCTGCTCTGCTGGGTCAGATAGATGTGACCAGGAAAAGATGGTCCTTCAAATAACCTATTTCCAGTCATGGTGGATAATTTTAACAAATGGTTTTCTGCCCTAATGACTGGCTGTATAGGCATGGTTGGGTGGTCATGTGACTGTGTGGGCATGGCCAAGTCAACGTCACTCACATTGAGAGGTGCTTCGCCCAGCCTCTTTGCTCCTCTCCTCGCCCGCCCTCCCCCCTTCCCAGCCACTCCTTGTCACGCCTGGCCTCACCTCTCTTGACTTACGACCACACAATTGAGCCAAAATTTATGTTGCTGAGAAATTTATTAAGTGAATTTTGCCCCATTTCACGACTTTTCTTGCCACATTTGTTAAGTGAATCACAACAGGTGTTAAGTTAGTAACACGGCTGTTAAATGAATCTGGCTTCCCCATTGATTTTTTTTTTTTTAATTTGATTTATATGCCGCCCTTCTCCGAAGACTCAGGGCGGCTTACAATGTGCTCAGCAATATTGACAATTTTGCTTGTCAGAAGGTTGAAAAAGGAAACTAAACATGACCCTGGGAAACTAAAACCATCATAAATGTGAGATAGTTGTCAACCATCTGAATTTTTATCACATGACAATGGGGATGTTGTAAGTGTGAAAAATGGTCATAACTCACTTTTTCCAGTGCCATTGTAACTTTGAATGGTCACTAAATGAACTGTTGTAAATCAAGGATTACCTGTACAAAAATGCAAATAGCTTCTTTGCTTGCAAAAAGCTGCCCTAAATACCAATCATTAGATTAGAAAAAGGGGAATACACACTGAAGATCAATAAGTCACTGCCATCATGGAAACCTAAACCGTTCTGTCTGAATACTTTTCTTCTCATAGGCAATACCTGCAACCCGGAGTTACAAATCAGGCAGGTGCCAGAGCATCTTGAGGAATTAAAATAGTTAAAATGCAATGATAGCTATCAGCAGCCAACTCTTGCTCATAAAATGAAACCCTTTAGTAGAGAGGTCATTTAAGCTCTCCAGAAAATGTGTAGGCATATTTGGGATACAAAATGCCGAGCTAAAAAGATAAATTAATGAAGTATATAGGGGAATCAAGTTCAAGTCTCTGCCCTCCCAAACTTGTCAGGATCACAATAAAATCAGTACATGCCACAGATACCTAAATAAACTTAAAGCCTGGTGCCATGTTACTAAGCCTTATTATCATGAGAGAAAACTAAAATGAATTGAGGGAGGATCCACATCTTTATCTCTTATTTTTTTTAATCTTACTATCAGTAAGCAATCATGTGCCTTGGCCACTCTGAAGCAATGCAAGATACTCCTATCCAGTGGTGGGATTCAGCCGGTTTGGTCCGGTTTAGACGAACTGGTAGTAAAAATTCTGGCTGGCTCTGCTCACCCCACACCCCCATGCCCAGTCATTCCTCATCTCGCCTGCCATTGCTAGCCTGCTTTCACCTGCCATTGCTTCCTGCCTTCTGCCATGGTCCTGATCTCCCTGGGTGAGTGAGCCTGCAAGCAAGCCCTGTTCGAGTTGACTCCCAGGCCGGCCTAGGCCACCACAAGCCCCAGTTGAGTCAACTCCCAGGCCAGCCTACCTGCCATTGCAAGCCCCAGTCAAGTGCCGATTCCCGGGCCAGTCTAGGCTGCTGCCTCAGGATGGACATGGTGAGGCTTGGCCACCTTTTGGAGCTGGCTTTGCCATCCTTCCACCCGCATGCCACCCGCCCGCTTGCCTTCTGCCTCAGGTCAGGAGACACGCCGGTCCCTGGCTCTGACCTTCCCTGGGGCCTCCGCCTGCCTGCCACCCACTCACCCTTTGCCTTGGGTCAGGGGACGCGCCGGAATGGTTGCTCTCATTATACAGCAAACCTATATCCTTACAGTAATTGAAAGTAAATGCTGTGGAAAATTGTTGGATTTCTGAGTAAATCTCAATAAAAGAAAGCAAGGAATAAATTTGCATCCCCATGTATTAGAGAAAGAAATGTACTAAAACGAATGACAGAGCAGATGGCCATTTAAATCAGGCTTCTTAATAAACACTGCAACTACCTGCATATATTTTTATATTGTTTTCCTAGGCAATATAAATTGGGGAATTTTATTCATGGGAGAAGAGAGCTATATTTTATGTTGGAAGCACTCTTCTCAGCAATTCTTTTATTTAGAGAAGAGCTGAGCATTTTTATTCTGCCAACCCACTCAGTCGCCTGCATGGGTTTCCATGTAATACCTTCATGTAATTCCTAATCTAAAAAAAAAAAAAAGCTGGTACTTAAACATAGATTTAATTGAAATAAACTGATTCTCTATACAATGCGTAAGAAAACATTTTACTTTAGAATGAACACTGGGATATATTTATGTAGGAATCACTAGCAACATATAGTGCATGTCGTGACTGTGACTATGCATGAAGGAAAAAAACATCTGTAAATGCTCATAGGAGTGATTTGGTATGTTGGATCCTATTTCAAATAAAAAGCATATTATACAATCTGTTTCAGAAATATCACTGGAATGATCTGAATTCTGCATCCTAGCCCCCAAATCTCACAATCAAAAGCATTCTGTTATAAAGTCACTTTAATTTGATAATTTTCTTTTTGAGTACTTTCATTTTATTCCAAACTTCAGTTCTAGCATTATTTCCTATTAATTGCAATAGTAATGTTGTAATATAGTAGTTACAATAATTTATTTTGATTCAAGAGTATCTTTAGCTTAAAGCTTTGAATATATTACAGCATAAACTTTTTTGTAGACTATAAACCAACTTTATTAGATATATGAAATATTATAATAGTTTAAGATATGGGTGTTCAACAGGAGTGAAATTCACTTACTTTCCCTACCGTTTCACAAAAGTGTGTGCGCAACTGTGAACAGGAATTGTTGATCCAAGAAAGGGCATAACTGGTGCACAACCTGCTCTTACGCAAAGGCTTTGAGCAGGAGTCTTGAATCCAGGAGAACTCCCAATTTATACACTGGGTCTGTCTGGGGCAGTGCCAGTGTATAAACCATTCAACACCAGATATGGCAATTCTCCAAGGACCAAAAAACCCAAAGACATTGAGTCTTGCCAGGATTCAGTTTCAGCCCAATCCAGCCCTTAACCACCTCCAAGCACTGCAAGAGGGAGGTCCCAGTGTCACTTAACTCCCATGGGTCAAGACATATAGCTGGGTGTCATCAGTGTGTTGATGATATCTCAGCCCATGGTGGCAGATGATTTCACCCAGCAGCTTCATGTAACTCTTAAATAGAAGTGGAGAAAGTACTGAGGCGTGCAGAATACCACAAAGCAAGAGAATGAAAGTGAGATCTCTCGCTTCCTATCAGCATCAACTGAGAGAGACCACAGAGGATGGAAATGACCCAGGACAACCCAGAGGCCCCACTTCCAACCCTCAAAGTGGCTCCAGAAAGATACCATGATCAACGATATTGAAGGCTCTTGAGAGGTCAAGTAGAGTGAGGATGCATGCACTAACCCAGTCCTGCCAGAGATGATCAAAAAATGCCACTAATGCTGTTTCTGTCCCATAACCAGGCCTGAACTCTACCTGGAAAGATAATCTATTTCTTTCAGGAATTCCGGGGCTGCTTTGCAACCAACTTCTCAACAATCTTCCCTAGAAAGAAAAATTCAAATAATTTTTTATAACAATTTCTCCTTCAATATTATTCCATTAAAATGGTAATGGTATTTGTGTTGGACATTGAGACATTTTATATTTCAGCAGAAAAAATATATATACATAGCTCAGATTGAACTGTGGAATCCTTGATGCTCTCTGGGCTTGGTTGCTTTTCTGCAGACATTTCATTACCCAACTTCAACTGCACTAATACTACTAGCTAGTTGGGTAATGAAATGTTTGCAAGCAAAAAACCAAGTTCATTGATTACCATGTTTCTATATTTAAATAGAACCGGCCTCAGTTTTATTAAACAGTGTTTTATTAATAAAATTGAATTTTATCTACAAACAAATATTTTTTAAAGATAATTAGACAGCATGTTAGGTATTTATTGCTATTATGGAATAAATTAACTATCAAGCTTGGTTTATTTAGGCTGCAATTCAGTCACAACTTGATGGAGTTCGAACTGGTTTAAGCCAGCTGCACACTGCATTGCATGATGTCAAGGACATACAGCACTCCTTAGTTGATGTCAATAAAGATTGGCGGCAGAGTATCAACACCATAGAAAATCTCAAAGATGTTAAAGATGCTGTAGTTCAACATAGTCAATTGGCAGCTGCTGTAGAAAACCTCAAAAATATATTCTCAGGTATGACTTCTAAAATATCTCATATTGTGAAAGTACAAAAGAGTTGTGCAGTATTAGTATGAATTTATATAAATAATGTTAAGTTTTTATGTACAGTAATAATGCAGCTGTTGTCATACAGCTACAATTCTGAAGTTTGTGAGATATAACGTAACTTAAATCTATGGTTTCCCTTTTTCTTTTCAGTCCCAGAGATAGTCCAGGAGACTCAAGACTTGATTGACCAAGGACAGTTATTGCAAGCTCATCGAAAATTGATGGATTTGGAGTGCTCCCGAGATGATCTTATGTATGAACAATACCGCATGGATAGCAAGAATACCCATGATATGAACCTAATTGATACTTATTTTGGAGATATGCAGAAACTTTCTGAAGAACTGGCCAAGCAACTCTGGATGGTCATTCAAAGGTCTCTAGTCACTGTCCGTAGAGATCCAACCTTGCTTGTTTCAGTTGTGAGAATAATTGAGAGAGAAGAAAAGATAGATCGGCGTATGTTAGATCGGAAAAAGCAAACTGGATTCATCCCCCCTGGGAGACCTAAAAAGTGGAAAGAAAAAATGTTTGATGTCCTGCATCGAACTGTTATTACCAGGATTGAAGGCACTCAAGCAGACACTCGAGAATCTGACAAAATGTGGCTTGTTCGCCATCTGGAAATAATTCGTAAATACGTTCTTGATGATCTGTTGGTGGCTAAAAATCTCATGGATCAGTGTTTTCCCCCACATTATGAAATTTTCAAGAGATTGCTATGTATGTATCACCAGGCATTGTCTTTACGCATGCAGGACCTGGCTTCAGAAGATTTAGAGGCAAACGAAATTGTTAGCCTTTTGACTTGGGTTTTAAATACATATAAAAGGTAAGGATGTTATTAGGAAAGTAAGAAGGTAAGGAAGTTAGTACTAGTAAGATCTACGCGATTTTAATAAATTTTGTCAAGCCCCATATATCTGGCAAACTCAAAGGTAGCAAGAATGACAAGACTTTCAAAAAACTATCTTTAATGATAGGTTGAGGTCAGTACAGAATCTTTTAAAAAGTAAGAAAGTTCTTTCTTTGGTTATACTGTGTTTATTAAACGAGAATTACTTTGAAGCACTCTTGTTCCCCATCAGGATACAGATGCCTCTTCTGAAATAAGCAGTCAAACACCAATCTGCCACACTTTCCCATAGTTTCTCTCAAATGCATAAAGATTAATTCAATTTCAGTTTCTAATAGCTAACCCTACACTTTTATATCATTTTCTTGATATTACATGAAAATACTTAATCACTTAATCACTAGGATTAGTTATTTTTAATTTTTCAATCTAACCTCTACCTTAAGATTCTCTGTTGTTCTTTTATCTGAATATTAACCAAGTCTGATCCTCCTCATTTTTTTAAAACCAAAATCAGCCAAGTGCTCCATCTGCTAAAGACAGATAAACATATTGATATAAAATAACAGCCAGATATGGATACAATTGAATATCATTAAAATGTAGAAGAGTTATTCTAGGAAGCATTCATGAAAAAAAAAATCTTGTTTTAGCCTAGAGACTAAAATGTTTTGTAGTGACTAAATTGGGGCTACCTTTGAAGAGCATTCAGAAGCTACAGCTGGTGCAAAGTGCAGCAGTGCAAGAAGTTCTGGGGGCCCTAGGATGGCCCATGTTATACCACTGCTCTGCAAGTTTCAATGGCTGCCGGTTTGCTTCTGGGTACAATTCAAGACGTTGGCTAATATTTTTAAACCCCTATATATCATGAGTCTCATCCCAATGGGACTGGCCTAGCCCAGCTACACCGGTAGAGCGGGCATGCAATGGGCCCTGTCCGTAAGCGAATTTTGGCTGGTGGGTTCCAGGAGAAGAACCACCTCTGCCATGTCTCCTGCCCTTTGGAACATCTTATCCAGGTAGGATTGGTTCCCACCCTTATGCTCTCCATAAGGATCTGAAAACATGGCTCTGCCAGATGGTTTGGGGCTCCAATGGAGGAGTATCATACTGGAGATAATTGAGAAATTAAGAGAAAATCCTACCTTCCCCTCACCCTGCATCCTGATCATTCCCTCCCCATCTTTTAACTGTAAATTTATTTTGGTTTGTAATTTTATTATTATTTTAGACATTTCTTTTATGGTTTTATTGCTTTTAATGTTGTAAGCTGCCCAGGGTTGCTTCGAAGCTAGATGGGTGGCAAACAAATGTAATAACTAAATAAATAGTTCTTTAGTTAAAGATGTTAAGAACTGAAGAAGTGATCTTTGCATGCAAAGCAATCACTATACCATAGAAAGGTACTTTGTAAAGTACAAATCTTCTTGCCTATCTTAAATGAATAAAATTAAAATAATTGTTTTTTACCCATTTTGAGAGAATAAAGATAATTCTTGTAAACAGATTTTTTAAAGTTTAGTCATAAAGTCATGCATCAGAATCATTTCGTTATATTTCACTGTTTATGGAACATTAATGTAATGATACATTGTATCTTATACAACCAAAGCCCAAAATTTCCATTGCTAAGTAGGTCAATTGTTAGGTGAGTTTTACCCCATTTTATGACCTTGCTTGCCACAGTTGTTAAGGGAATCACTGCCTTTATTAAGTTATTAAGTGAATCTGGTTTCCCCATTGACTTTGCTTGTCAGGAGGTCACAAAAGGTGATCACATGACCCCAGGACACTGCAACTGTCAAAACTATGATCCAGTTGCCAAGCAATCAAATTTCAATCATGTGACCATGGGGATGCTGCAATGATCGTGTGAAAACTGGTAAAAGGTCACATTTTTCAGCGCAATTGTAATTTTGAACATTTATTAAATGAACTTTGCAAGTTGAGAACTATCTGTACTTGGTTTATTTTGTTTCTAAGGAATTTACACTTTTGGTAAGAAGAAAAAATGAGTTTTCTTTTTTTAGATATTCAAGTGTTAAAAAGCAGTGGGTTGGAGAATGCAAAAATCCTGCATAATAAGATCTTGAAAATTGGATGCTCTTTACTTTTTCTTTCCATTGGATAGAATATTACAAGTGTTCAAAGAATTGGTAATTTATCTGTTAAATAAAAAAGGGATTCTAGTATTTTTTTTCTATGGTTCAAAATGGTTCAAAATCTAAAACTAAAGCATCTAGAGTAAACAAAAAGAAATAAAACTGTATTGAGTCTCTTCTATTCCTGCTTTTTTCTCCTCAGCCACCTCCTAACCCCTTTTAATCTCTCCTCCTATTTCTTCATCTCCCTAATATACAAATTATTTGCAATCCACATCTAGAAGATTCTAAAATATCTTCCAAATTTAACTTGCATTTTATTGCTAATATGCACACAAATATGCACACTTAAACCTAGGACTATAGTTAAGGAGATCTTAACTGTGAATTTCCATTTATGTAATTAGGTATCCCAAACACATACACAAATAATTGTTCAGGAAAGTCCACTTTTACTTTACAGAATTAAAAATGCAAATACTAAAAATAAGCATCAATTGTCTATTTAATTCTTCCGCTTAAAAAAAACTATTATTAAATTGCTTTCTTAGACTATCTGTATTTAAGGTTTGCTATTTTGATCTTTTTAAAAGTATTTCATTATTTGCTTGGTCATGTGTGTGTGTTGCATTTTTACAACTAAAGAAAAATTGATCCTAGAATTTTACTTGTCATTTATCTGTTCTCTTTAGTGAAGAAATGATGGGAAATTTGGAACTGGCACCAGAACTGGAAGTGAATTTCCTGCAACCTCTTCTTTCTCAGGATGTCGTGAATGAACTTCTCAGCACATATATGTCAACTCTTACGGTAATTTATTCAACTAATTTCAATGCCATCCAGCCTGACATTTTGGCAATTTACAGACAAAAAGAGAAAAGTGCATATAAATACAAATAAAAAGAAATCCTGATTGACTGGAAGACTAATATTATGAGACCAATTATAACTTAAGTACATTTTCCCACATCAAACAAAAATTAAATACTGTTCTTATTCAACAAAGGAGTGAACCAATACGAATAGGTTAATTCTTGTCTGTCGTTAGAAGGCAAGATTTATTATAGATTTCCTATTCTCTGAGAAGAGAACTAGTTTTAAGTATTGGCTCTGCCTTCTGGAGAAAGACTAGGCTTCTGCAGCAGTAAATAAAAGTAAAAAGAAATAATAAGCATAGGCATTTGGGATGGGTGGGTGAATGATAAAATATTTGTCACAATGCAAATGTTGGCCCATTTTGGCTTGCATTGTAATGTTGCATAGTAGTAAAAAGCTCTGGTTTTGATAAGTGATAATATATTTCTAGTCACTTGCCAGTTACACTTGGATTCCTCAAAATTGGTCTGCTATTCCTCAAAATTGGTCTGCTATTAGTCCATTATTTTGTCTTATCAGACTTAATAGTGATTCTGCAAATGTTGATGAAGGCTTCTTTTGAGTCAGCTTGACAGATCATCAGAATTTAGATCAAGAAAAAGGTTTTTGGGTGACTCTGACATCCTTCCCAATCATGAGTGATTGTTGTTTTGTGTTGGTGAGCTCTAGGTCACTTGCTTATGATCTGCCCAATGAAATTGGCTCATACTGCAGATGATCAGGAGCAGGATTTATTTGGCAATGTCCTACTCTGCTCAGGAAATATAGCTCCCTAACCTGTTGTCTTGCCTTTTAGATAAATCTGTTTTTTTCAGGTCCATTAGAATTTGTCTTCTTTTTGTCAACATGATATTTCTCTAAAAATGGACAGAAAGAGGCTAAATTTGATTGGGAATAAGTCAAATACACAATTGGAAAGAGGACTGGCTTCAGCTAGGGCTGTACAGAAAAAAAATCTCAGAAAAATAGGCTTGATTAGGGCTTTCAAACAAAATAACCTTCAATAGCAGATAAAAACTATTTAAAAGTAAAAATGGTGACAAGATAAATGAAGATACAGAAAATTAGAATTGTGCTCCATAGGGACTGGGGAACTTCCAGAAGGACCACTTCTAGCATCAACTCAGTAGTAACAAAATTTTATTTTCTCTTGATTTAACATTCTCTTGATTCTCTAGTCCAACATTATAGGCTGGTTAAGAAAAGCACTGGAGACAGATAAAAAAGACTGGCTAAAAGAAAATGAACCAGAAGCAGACCAGGATGGATATTATCAAACAACCCTCCCAGCTATTGTATTTCAGGTATAACAATATTTTCATATAAATAATTCAAGTTATGTTTAAATTTTTTTAAAAAATACATGATATTGATGCGAGTTATATTCTTCTGATATAAAATATCATAAAATAGATTGGAACTTTTGAATTTGTTTTACTAAAGATTCTTGGAGAGATTCTTACAGAGAGCTATAAAGCCTTATGAAGTGGTGTATGTCTAAATGCTATTGCTATTTCATTGTTCATATCCCAGCATATTCAACTAATAAATGGAGATAATGTATTCATGTAGCACAAACAAAATTTTGTAACTCAAATTATAGTGGCAGGAGAAAAATGTATTGTTCATCTGAATGTCCAGGAAATATGCTTAATTCTGATTGAAATGTTATCTAACTGTTTTCCTGATTTTAGATGTTTGAACAGAATCTTCAGGTGGCTACTCAGATAAGTGAAGATTTGAAAATAAAAGTCCTGCATTTGTGCCTTCAGCAAATGAGTTCCTTTCTTAACAGGTAAAATTATTATTACAAGAAGTTTTTGCAGAAACATTGTAAAAACATAGTGACGTGGCCACAGACACTGCAAACAGCTGTAAATATGGGTTGGTTGCTGAGCATCTGACATGCAGTCATATAACAGTGGGGACAGGGGTGGCCAGTGGAACTTCAGAAACTTGTTGTAAGTAACCCTGGGTTAGTCCATCATAACGCTATAAACAGTCACTAAGACAAGTCAAAAGTCAAGGACTACCTGTATAGATTTTTCTGCAAATGATAATGCAGTCTTACAGTTTGCCAGCTCATTGTGAATTATGACTGAACCCGCTGAATGTGCTTATTTTTAATCTTTTAAATAATTTTACAGAAACTATACAGTAGAAACTATCTCTCTGGAGATCTCTAAAGCTTAATCTACCTGTTCTGGGTAATGGTTGTTCCTACAAGAGCAGTTTGAAGATTTCACTTTCTTTTCTCATTGAGTTTGTTCCCCTTCCCTTATTCAGGTATAAAGAGGAAGCACATTTATATAAAGAAGAACATTTAAGAAATCGTCAGTATCATCCATGCTATGTTCAGTACATGGTTGCCATCATCAACAACTGTCAGACTTTTAAGTAAGTTTTGCTAACTGAATTTTTTTTTAATGAAAAAATCCACATTTAATACAATAAAATAAGATAGTAGGCAAATATATGAAGTAGACAACTATGTTTTGATAATACTAGATAATTTCGTTGCTGTGCTAATAACATATTAAAGCTGTTCGGAAATAATCTAATACTTATCTCAGTCACTCTGAGAGTGAGATATGGTACCTAAATTTGACAAAAGCAAACAAATAAATGTACTACACAAAAGGGAAAACAAATTGGGGCAATGATGAAAGCAACTAAATGCAAGTAGCAGATCTTGAACTTCCCAAAATGCAAAATTTATTTAAACAAGTGGTTTTCAAACTTTCAATTATGTGGTTAATTTTTATAATATCTATTGGAATATTTATTAAATATTGAACAACATATTAAGCTATACCTATAACAGCTTCTATAACTTTTTAGTATATTATGTAATGTAGACCCCCCCCCCAATAAAATGTCTATAAAACACATTCCAGAGCCTTTTGAATCATATTTTAAGGCATGTATTTCATTACTTCCACATGAATTTTCCATTGCCCTTCCTCCTTCATAGAACTTTGCAAAGTATTCATCATACTTCATCTCAAAATTCGTTTGACTGTTCTCAGCTTTAAGCTTTTCTAATCATGAAAATGCTTTGAAGAGGAAGAGGGTGTTTGTTTAGCTGCTTAAAGTCCTATGATTACTGTTGTGAAGTCCTCCATCTGGAATAGCCTTTATTTTTTTAAGACACTGACCTGGCCTGTTGAATTTCAGTACAGCCCTGGTAGGAACAGACAAAGAGTATACTAAAGAAAAGTCTTCCTGGAATCAAATCTGATTTTTATGATTTCATGTACACATCCATGTTATTTTCTTGGCAACAGTATGGAAATAGTTTGTCACACTATCTTCTGGAAGAAAACCAATGAACCAAACACAGTACAGTACAGATAGTTCTTGACTTATGACCACAGGATTCAGATTTCTTATCATAAAGCAGTGTGGTGGTAAAACAAGTCATCTTGTGACTGGACCTAATTTTACGGCTTTTTACTATGATTGTTAAGCAAATCACATGGTCATTAAATAAATCACATGTGATTAAGTGAATCCAGCTTCCCCAATTGACTTTTATTGTTAGAAACCAATTTCACAATCGTGATCATATGACTGTAGGTCACTGCAATTAGTTATAAATTTGAGCGTGTTGCCAAGTATCTAAATTGTAAGATACTTGGAAGTAGTGTGAATGTTGTCAGTGTGAGGGCTCTTATTGTACACTTACACTTATTGTAAATCACTTTTCCAAAGGCCATCATGACTTTAAACTGTCATGATGATTGTATGACTGTATCCTCTACAGTCTTATGATTTCTTAGTAGTCTTTTTTTCAAATATAAACCAAGTCTGACCTATCTTATCCTTTTTTAAATCAAAGTTATGAGGTACTCCTGCCTGCTGTAATTGACAGAGAGTAACTCCTAGTTTTTGTTTTATTCTTTAAATTTTATGTATTACATTTATATTCTACCCATCTCATTGTGAAGTGACACTGAGCCACTTTCAACAATATAAAAATATAATATAAAACAATAGAACTGTTAAAAACATTAAAACTTTCAACATTACGAGTTAAAAGACATTAAAATCAACCAAAAATAGAATTAAACAAATAGTGTCCTATGTCATTAGACTGGGAGTGATGAGCAGATTTGCTCTGCATTTTCCATTTCAATAAAATCATTACTAATTTTCTTGGTGAAGATTTATTGAAAAACTTCAAGAATAATTGAAGATGCCTTGTTCCGGTTTGCAAGCTTCGGTTTGCAAGCTTTGGCGACGGCGGTGATTTTTTAAAGACCGCCAGCCCCGCCGCCTGTAGAGCCGCCCCGCGAACGAGGAGCGGCTCGAAAACTCCGAAATCTCGAAGATTGTAGGAGCAGAGACAGCAGGGCACAGGTTGAGCCCCTGTAACCCCCCAGGGAATTGCTTCTGGGGGAGAAAACAGGCGCGGCTCCCTCCCAACCTGCGGAGACTCCGGGCGGCGTGGGACGATTCTGCCTTCAGCAGAACAAGCCGGCAGCAGCAAACTTTTAAAGTGAAAGGAACTAACCCTAACAAACAGCGGAAATACCAACTTGAATCCAGAAACTTGAAAATTGCAAGTATTAGTGCTTTGTTGACTTTTTAAATCAAAAGAGAAAGTGAGTGAGTGAAAGTGATTTGAAAAAATATGGCGCCCAGCATTTGAGTTAACGAGCTAGTGAAAGTGGATTTGTGAAGCCTTCCTGCTTTGCTATAAAGCTACAGAGCTGCTACAAAGTTGCTTTATCTAAAGGAAAAATTTCTTTTTCTAAAAATTTGACTTTGTTTTACTTCAGTTTTATTTGATTAAATCTGGGGGACTTTTTTAGAAGTCTTTGTCCAGGAGGGAAAGGAAAAGGAACTTCCCTCTTCAGAAAAACTAGCCTATGTGGCAGAATGACTTCAAAGAAGCAGGAAGGGAAGGCAACAGGGGGGGGATCCCCCACATACAAACATGAAACGCAGCTTCCCCCTGCTCAACAGTTACAGACTCAGAAAAAAGAATTTGATGTGGGAGATTTAAAAGAATTTATTTCTAAAACTTTGGATGATAAATTTCAAAAATCTCAACAGGAGATAGATGATAAACTTCAAAAATCACATCAGGGGATAGATGATAAACTTCAAAAATCACACCAGGAATTTATGCAGGAAATTAATGAAGTTAAAGATATGGTGAAACAGAATCAAAACAAGGTGACCAAAAAAATATCAGAAGTGGCATCTGGCCTGGCAGAATTTATTGGGAAAGTTGATTTTAAAGTTGAAGAACTTAAATCAGAAGTTAATGTTAAGATGAAAGACAATGATTATAAAATTGCTGATGTTGACAATAAAATGCAGAGAGTTGAAGACGAGATTGTCATGATACAATTCAGGGCAATGGAGTTTGCTATACGGCTTCGAGGAATTCGAGAGGAGGAAAGACAGGATTTGAGACAAGTTTGTTCTGAGGCCCTGGCTAAGATTTTACAAGTTAATCCAGATGTGGTTTTTCACAAAATAGACAAAATTTACAGAGTGAACTCTTGGGTGGCCAGACAAAGACAATTACCTAGAGATGTAGTCATATATTTTACAGATAGAGAAATAAGAAACGATATCCTGCAAAAATCCTTTTACACTTCTGTACAAGTGGGGGGTTCACGAATTGGAATTTATAAAGAATTACCTCCTAAAATGCTGAAAGCTAGAAAAGAATTTGGCTTTCTTGTTAAGGAATTGCAAAATTTACAGATATCTTTCCGGTGGGACGCACCAGTTGGCATAATTTTCAGATACAAGGGAGAAAGATATTGTTTGAATACCGTGGAGAAGGCACAGCACTTCTACACTACTATTCTTAAGGAAAGAACACCATCTCCACGTACATCTACAGTTTTGGAGATTAAAGAGAGTGAAGAGAAGCAACCTCAACGAGAACTGCAAGAACAGTCTAAGCAGGAATTAGAAGAAGTGCAAGGTGCAGAAGGAGGTTTTCTGGATGAGCCCTTGCTGGAATCTTCTCCAATCTTGGACCCGGTTCGGATGATTGAAGTTAAGGATCAACGTATAACTCGAGCTCAAGCTAAGTTACTTAAACAAAAGCAACAACAACAACAGGAAAGACAAGACAAGGAGGCAGATAAGAGTACTGCACAAGAGATTGGAGTTATGGGAGGAGCGAGATCGAAGATTTCGGATGATCTTCAATTATTTTGCTCTTTGCTCCAGAAAGAGGCTGATGATGTTTAGGTGTTTATCCTGGAATGTTAATGGGTTGAATTCAGCACAGAAAAGGAAGAAATTATTTACATATTTGAAACAATTTAATAATGATATAATTTGTTTACAAGAAACGCATATCACAACTCAAGATCAAAAATATTTGATAAACTCCAAACTAGGAACACATTTTATATCTTCAACTTCGCAAAAAAAGAATGGAGTGGCAATTTATGTAAATAAAAAGTTAACAGCTAAAGTTATAGAAACAGATGAAGATGGTAGGTTTGTAGCAATTGAATTGTCTACCGCAAATGGCCAAATTCTTCTGATTAGGATTTATGCTCCCAATCAACAACAGGACTATTTCTATAAGATGTTACATACTAAAATATTGCAATGGGATTACAGATCTATTTTAATTATGGGAGACTGGAATGGAGTAATCGATTCTAAATTAGATAAAAAGAGTTTGGCAAAGTCTAGAATCAGATTACCACAGACCTTTTTTGACATGAAAGAAGATATGGAACTAAAAGATGTTTGGAGAATACATAATTCAAAAGAATTGGACTATACTTTTTATTCTGACAGACACAGATCCTTCTCTAGGATTGACTTTATTTTGTTGACAGATGATTTACTTGTTAAGACAAAAAGAACAAAGATTTTTCCAAGAACTTTGACTGACCATAGCCCAGTATGGATAGAAATTGAGATGGACAAGGTTGAGAGACGTTCTTGGAGATTAAATGAGAATTTGTTTAGATATGAAAAAAATACAACAGAACTTAAAAAGCATTTGAAAGAATTTTTTGAAATAAATTTGAATAAAGGTACCCCAATTGAAATTGTGTGGGATGCAAGTAAAGCTTATATGAGAGGGGTACTTATCTACATGAACTCTAAACATAGACTGTTCCGACAAAAGAAAAGATCTGAATTGGAAATAGAAATAAAGAAAAAAGAACAGTTACTTATTAAAAATCCAACAGATGAAAGAATACGTAGTGCTATAAAACTTTTGAAAGACCAATTTCAAATGCTTATGGCGGAACAAGTTGCAACAAACTTACAATATGCGAAGCATAATACATTTTGTAACGCTAATAAACCGGGCAGATGGTTGGCTTACACATTGAGGAAAAAACAAAGTATACGGACTATTGATAGTATTGATATTGGAGGGAAAGAAATTTTTCAACAAAAATTAATTAAAGAAGCTTTTGTGGACTATTATATTAAATTATATGCTAAAGAGGAGGTGCAGAATGGACTTATAGAAAAATATTTAAACGATAAAAGAGTTACAAAAATTACTGATCAACAAAAGGAAAGAATGAATTATCCCATAACAGAGGAGGAGATAATAGTAGCAATTAAACAATTAAAAACAGCCAAAGCTCCTGGTACGGATGGCTTGACTGCAGTGTATTACAAAACTTTGCAAGCTGAAATGGTGGAACAACTTAGAGATTTATTTTGCAATATTCAGCAAGGGGGTAAAATACCCCCATCATGGACAACAGCTTACATATCTTTGATACCAAAAGAACAAATCGGTCCTAAAAAACCAGAGAACTATAGACCAATATCTCTTTTGAATACAGATTATAAAATTTTTGCGAAAGTACTAGCCAACAGGTTGATGCCAGTAATTCAAAAGGTGATTCATGATGATCAAGCGGGATTTATCGAGGGTAGATATATGAAGGACAATGTAAGGCAAGTAATAGATTTATTGGAATATCTTGAGAAGAATAAACAGATCCCTGCAGTGCTGGTCTTTTTGGATGCAGAGAAGGCCTTTGACAGAGTGGATTGGAATTTTCTATTAAAGACTTTGAAAAAGATGGATTTTGGGGATCAATTTATACAGGCGATTTCGGCAATTTATCAAGAGCAAAAGGCACAGATCATTATTAATGGAAGTCTGACAACAGAGTTTAAAATTGAAAAAGGAACAAGACAAGGATGTCCGTTGTCCCCACTTTTATTTATTTTAACACTAGAAGTCTTGCTAAATACAATACGGGACTCTAATATCTTGAAAGGTATAAAGATTAGGCAAGAGGATTACAGAATAAAGGCATTTGCAGATGATCTGGTTGTTACCCTATCACAACCAATGGAATCAATAATCTTGATGAAGGACATTATACAAGACTATGGTAAAGTTTCAGGTTTTAGATTGAATCCAAAAAAGACTAAAATGATAGCTAAAAACATGACACAAGATCGTAAACATGAGCTTGAAAGGAGGGCAGGTTTTGAGACTGTACCTAAGGTAAAATATCTAGGAGTTCAGGTTGCAGAATCAAATATGAAATTGTTTCAAAATAACTATGAGGTGTTGTGGCGAGAGGTGCAGAAAGATATGGAGACTTGGAAAAAACTGCAGCTGTCTCTACTTGGAAGAATAGCAGCAGTTAAGATGAATATTTTGCCAAGATTTCTTTTTTTGTTTCAAATGATTCCGGTGCTTAAAAGTGATAAACAATTGAAAGTTTGGCAATCTGGAGTGAATAAGTTTGTCTGGAACGAGAAGAAGCCGAGAGTGAAATTGAAAATTATGCAAGATGTTCCAGAAAGAGGAGGTCTTAAACTTCCAAACCTACAGCTATATTATGATGCAGCAGCTTTAACCTTAACAAGTGATTGGTTTGGAAGGAAAAAGACTGGAATATTGAACGCAGAAAGTTTTGATCTTGAATTTGGATGGCATGCTTACTTATTTTACAACGACAAAGTAGATAAAGTATTTAAAAGTCATATACTTAGAGATTCTTTGATGAGAGTTTGGAAGAAGCACCGACTCAAATGGGATTATAAAATACCGCTATGGCTGGATCTTGGTCATACTTTGTGGAATACAAATATAATGTCACTTGGGGGGGTTTTATATAAAGAGGTTCTTTTTACAGATGCGGGCAGATGGCAGCTGAAGACATTGCAGACACTGTTGGACGAAGGGATTAATTTAATTTGGTTACAGTATAATCAATTACAATTGAGATGGAAAGAGGACCAAAAAACTGGTATTATGTTGCATGAGGAAGAATTGGTTAGACATATAAGAGAGAAAGGTCCAATGCATATCAAAAGGCTTTATAATGTTTTGCTAGAAAGAGATTCAGAAACTGAATTAGTTAAAGACTGTATGATTAAGTGGGCACAGAATTTTGAAGAACCAGTGATGCTGGAAACATGGGAAAAAATTTGGGTTCAGAATGTTAAATTTACACAGTCGCAGAATCTGAGGGAAAATTTCTACAAAATGTTTTATAGATGGCATTTAGATCCCAAAAAGTTGTCATGTATGTACCCTAATGTTCAGCCAAAATGTTGGAGATGTGAATGTTTGGATGCTACGTATTATCATGTTTGGTGGACCTGTAGGAAAGTTAAGGCTTTTTGGATAAAAATTTGGTGGGTCATGCAGAATGTTTTGAAGAAAAAAATTCAATTTTCTCCACAACTGTTTTTATTGGGTATAGTTAAGGGTTTTACATTGGGTGAAACAAAATTGATATTGTATATGATAACAGCAGCAAGATTGTTGATAGGTAAATATTGGAAGAATGAAGCTTTGCCCACTATTGAGGAATGGACTTTGAAGATGGCCAGTTTTGCAGAGATGGCGAAGATTTCAGCATATTTAAAAGACTGTTCACAAGAGACTTATGAGTGGGAATGGAAAAGGTGGATAGAATATGTTCAGAACAAATATCAAACTAGAAAGTATCAAATAGCTTTTATTTGAAAATAATGTAATGTAGTGGAAATATTTTAATGTAATGAGGTAAAGAGAAAAATTACACAGGGGAGGGAGGGGTTCAAGTTTACATATAAGTGTTATATTAAGGGTTTTTTATGAGTATGAATATATTATAGGGAAGTCTGGGGGGAGGGGAGGGTTAGGGAGGGTTAGGGAGGTCAGGAAGTTTGGGGGGGGAGGCGGGGGGAAAAAGGGGTGAAAATGTAATTGTAAAACTTTTGCAATAAAAAAAAAAGAAAAAAGAAAAACTTCAAGAATAATTGAAGATGCCTTGTTACACAATTTGAAGACCACAAAATCCTCATATATGCTGCTGAATTGAACAATCATGTTTTACATATTGTAACATTAGTTTGATCCTTGAGAAACTAATATTAATAGTTTAGTGAAGCTTTGTCATAAGGATGACAATAATACTTTAATGAGGTTTTCATTGGACAGTATCACAGAATACTTTAATATACATTTAACAAGATTCTGAAATATTTTTTCTTGCTTACCCAAGGGAGTCGATCATCAGTTTGAAGAAGAAATATTTGCCCCCTATGATGGAAGAGATGCTGATAAGCAGTCATGCATGCATCGATGCTGTTTTAGATGATATTGCAAAAGAAGGATGCTCAAGCCTGCTAGATGAAGTCTTCATTGATTTAGAGGTTATTTTTTTTCCTTCTCCATTCCCTCACTTTCCTTTTTAATTTTTTTTTATTAAAGATGTTTTTACAAGTTAAAAGATAATTATGAAAAAATACTGAAAAAGTAAAAAAGATAAGGATATAAGAATTAAAAACAGTAGGGGAAGAAAAAGAATATTAAAGAAGCAAATTCCAATTTTCACAGCACTTATAGACATCTTAAAACTATTTCCCCCTTCTAAATCACATAACATGCTTTCCTTCCCCCCCTTCTGCTTTTCAGATTAAAGTTTTGGGTTGGGGGCCTATCTGTAATGGGATAAGAGACAAATGCCTTGATTTAACAGAGATCAGGTGTCCATCTAATCATATGTGAGATTGGATATATCTGATTTATATAAATTACAGCATACTCAGAATAGATAATGTTCTATAGAAATTGTATCCCTTTGAGCAAAAACCTTATCACGCAGTACAATAATTTTGAGTGTGTATTATTTCAGTACCCAGGAGAACATAGGGATATTTTAATATACCATTCATCCTGACAACAGTTTTCTAACCCATGCAGTTTGTTCTTCCTCAGAGAACTGGGAGAGAAGAAACTTAATGGTTGGGGGTTTGTGTTGAATAATTTTCCTTGCAATTTGTAGATGAGAGCATTAGATTTAAGACACCATGGACTGTGTTCAAAGCTAGTCCTAGGGAGGTAGGCAGAATAATAAAGACCATTACTAGTTTGTTTCATCCTTAGTCTTCAAAACTGATTAAATCACCCAAGTTGTGATAGGTGCATAATGTCACTTTAAGTAAGAAATGTGTTCCCACTTAGTTAAAGAAGAAACTAGAAGACCTTTACCAAAAGTACTCACGAATGAAGGCAATGTGTGTCCCAGGATAATGTTGCAGGATCCAATTTGAGTTGCCCGTTGGGACTAGAAGTTTAGTCTTTGAAGTTTTCAGATTTGTGCTGAGCCTGTCCCTGAGCCTATTCTCAGGGAACTGGAGAGAAATAATTTTCTTGAGAATGGGCTCCAGCATGAGTCTGAAAACTTGGAAGACTAAATCTCAGGTCCCTATGACTGACTTAGATTGGATCCTGAAAAAGTACTCTGCTTGGATTCTGAAGATATTTAAAATTATATACCATTCTTGCTCTTCAGTTAGGTGAAGAAGAATGTAGTGACTTGAGTTACAAGATGAGATCGAGACTAAATATTAAATCATCAGCTCATGTTGGCTGTGAATATTTACTGATCTTCCTCCATAATTTTGGTACATTCCTTTACAAGTTTACCAAGTGTAAATATAAAGACTTTTGTACTTAATGCAGTTTTTTTTAAAAAAAAAAAAGTATACAATTTCAGCTTTGCTGAGATGGTATAAAATGACATGATGTTGAATAATATTGTTAAAAATTATTCTGATTGACATTTATGTTTTCTCATTTTTTTAAAGCCCCATCTTAGTGAATTGATGACAAAAAAATGGCTCGGTGCATCCAATGCTGTGGATACAATCTGTGTAACAGTTGAAGATTATTTTAATGATTTTGCAAGAATAAAGAAGCCCTGTAAGAAGGTATTTATTAAGTCTAATGTAGAATATTTAAATATTGTAGCATAATGTGTAAACATTATTATTGCTTTAACTTTAAGTTCAAGGGCAAAGCTTCTTGCGCTGCGAGACTCCCCCCTCTCGCAGGCCTGGCCCTCTATGTTATCGAGGGCCCACCTTAATGACGGATCTTGGGACCCCGAGAGGTGGCATGTCGCAAAAAGGGGACTGAGCGGTTTTTTAAAGACTTTTTTAAATAAGACTTTTAAGGGGTTCTGAGGGTGGGGGAGGTTATGTGGGTTTGGGGGAAAACCCACGGGGGTTGCAGACCAGTCCGGTTGCTATTAATGGTGCCGTAGGGGGTGCGGACTCTGGGGGAAAGGGGACTGTTAGAATGCCCTCTAGTGAGGGCTTCTCTATTAACACGCTGAGTGGGAGGGGCAGGTATGGCGGGAGCAGGGGGCCATATCATGTGGTGGGGGCACGTGCTCGCTATCTCCGAGTGATTGCGTGCCCCGGTCCCCTTAGCTCTTCCCGTTCCCCAGGCTGCTTAGAGTCTCAGCGCCCGAGTCTCTGGCTGATGTTATGTAATGCCAGGTCCGTGGTAAATAAAGCCCCCCTCATTTGTGATCTTATTCAGGAGGGGGGAGCGGACCTGGCAGGTATCACGGAGACCTGGTTGGGCCATGAGGGGGGAGTTCCCCTCGTGGAGATGTGCCCATCAGGCTTCCGTGCATTTCATCAGCCGAGAGCTCAGGGCAGGGGCGGGGGAGTGGCGGTCATTCTAAAAGAAGGTCTTGATCCGAGGGAGGCCACTGTACTTCAGAGAGCCGGATGTGAGTCCCTTTTTGTGAAGTGGGGTCGTGGGGTGCAGAGGGGTCTGTTGATCACGTACCTGGCTCCCTGCCACGTGGCAACGACCCTGCCCGAGCTCCTCAATGTTATAGCCGAGGTGGCGGCTGATACCCCCAGACTTGTGGTCATGGGGGATTTCAACCTGCCATCCATCGGTGAAACATCTGAGGTAGCTCGGGAGTTCATGGCTTCCATGACGGCCATGGACCTGACCCAAGTAATTCACGGCCCTACTCATATGGGGGGACACACTCTGGACTTAGTTTTTATCTCTGGTCAGTGGTTGAGTGGCCTTGATATAGGGGATGTAGATACTGAACCCTTGTCATGGTCTGACCACTCGCTCCTTCGACTTGACTTTCTGACCGCCGTACCCCGTCGCAGGGAGGCGGAACCGACCAGGTGGTTCCGCCCCAGGCGCCTGATGGACCCTGATAGGTTCCAGATGGAGCTTGGGCCATTCCCTGAGACTCTAGCTCATGACTCGGCTGATGACCTGGTGGCCGCCTGGGATAGGGCGGCTGCCAGGGCTTTGGACCGGGTCGTGCCTTTGCGGCCTCTGACCCGGTCCAAAGCCCTGGCAGCCTTGGTTCTCCAAGGAGCTGAGGGAGATGAAGCGCCAGAAAAGACGCCTAGAGAGCGGTTGGAGGGCCAGTCGTTCCGAGTCTGACTTGACACTGGTAAGGTCTCATATTAAGACCTACCTAGTGGCGATAAAAGCGGCGAAATCTAGCTATTTTGCCGCTCTTATCGCGTCATCAGATAACCGCCCAGCCGCCCTGTTTAGGGTGACCCGCTCCCTCCTCCATCTGGGAGCGCGGGAGGACCCCTTGCAGGGCCGAGCTGAGGATTTTGTACAGTATCTGGATGATAAAATAACTCAGATTCGGGAAGACTTGGCCGCCGACTGGGTTAGTTCAGACGAGATGACTGAGGCAGGTCTTGAGAGTGTTATCTGGGAGGAGTTCGATCCTGTGGCTCCCGAGGACGTGGACAGGATCTTGGGACGACTGAACGCAACCACATGTTTATTGGACCCGTGTCCCTCCTGGTTGGTGCTGGCTTCCCGGGAGGTTACACGAGGCTGGCTCCAGGGGATTATTAATGCTTCTTTGAGCAAGGGTGTCCTGCCGGCCGCCTTGAAAGAGGCGGTGGTGAGGCCTCTCCTCAAGAAGCCATCCCTGGATCCGGCTGTTTTGGCTAACTATCGTCCAGTCTCCAACCTTCGCTTTATTGCGAAGGTTGTTGAGAGTGTGGTGGCGCGACAGCTTCCCCGGTACCTGGATGAAGCTGTCTATCTGGATCCGCTCCAGTCCGGCTTCAGACCTGGGTACAGCACGGAAACGGCATTGGTCGCGTTGGTGGATGATCTCTGGAGGGCCCGGGATAGGGGTTATTCCTCTATCCTGGTCCTATTAGACCTCTCAGCAGCTTTTGATACCATCGACCATGGTATCATGTTGCGCCGGCTGGAGAGACTGGGAGTGGGGGGCACCGTTCTGCGGTGGTTCTCCTCCTATCTCTCCCACCGGTCACAATCCGTGTTGACAGGGGGGCAGCGGTCGACCCCAAGGCGCCTTGTTTGTGGGGTGCTGCAAGGGTCGGTCCTCTTGCCCCTCCTGTTCAACATTTATATGAAGCCGCTGGGTGAGATCATCCGTGGTTTTGGGGTGGAGTTCCATCAGTACGCTGATGATACTCAGCTGTACATTTTCACCCCAGACCATCCCAATGATGCCTTGGAAGTGATGTCCCAGTGCCTGGAGGCCGTGCGGGTCTGGATGGGGAGAAACAGGCTTCGACTCAACCCTTCCAAGACCGAGTGGCTGTGGCTGCTGGCGTCCCGGTATAGCCAGCTGACACCATCGCTGGTTATTGGGGGCGTATCATTGGCCCCCACGGAAAGGGCCCGCAACTTGGGTGTCCTCCTGGATGTGCGGCTGTCTTTAGAGGGGCATATGACAGCCGTGGCCAGGGGGGCTTTTTGTCAGGTTCGCCTGATACGCCAGTTGCGCCCCTTTCTGGACCGGGACTCCCTACGCACGGTCACTCAAGCACTCGTCACTTCTCGTCTGGACTATTGTAACGCTCTCTACATGGGGCTCCCCTTGGGGTACACCCGGAGGCTCCAACTGGTGCAGAATGCGGCTGCGCGGGGGATTATGGGAGCGACGGGGCGCTCCCATGTGACTCCTCTCCTGCGCGAGCTGCATTGGCTTCCGGTGGACTTCCGGGTGCGCTTCAAGGTGTTGGTGATCACCTTTAAAGCGCTCCATGGCTTAGGGCCAGGGTACTTACGGGACCGCCTTCTGCCACCAATAGCCTCCCACCGGCCGGTTCGCTCCCACAGAGAGGGCCTCCTCAGGGTGCCGTCGGCCAGACAATGCCGGCTGACGACCCCCAGGAGGAGAGCCTTCTCTGTGGTGGCACCTACCCTATGGAACAATCTACCCCCAGAGATACGAGTGATCTCCGACCTCCGGATTTTTCGTCGGGCCCTAAAAACTTATTTTTTTCAGTTAGCCGGTCTGTCCTGAATTTAGGGTTAGTTTTAAAATTTTAATATTTATTTTAAATTGACAAGTTTTAAATTATGGGCCAAATTTATAAATTATTTTAACTTTATTTTTTAACCGTGATGTTTGTATAGATGTTTTTTATCTGGCTGTTCACCGCCCTGAGTCCGAAAGGAGAAGGGCGGTATAGAAATTCGAATGAATGAATGAATGAATGAATGAATGAATGAATGAATGAATGAATGAATAAATAATAAAATAATAAAACTGTGTAATTTCTATCTTGTAATAAAGAGTCCCTAAAATTAGCAAAATAATTACCAGAAATTACGTGCTTTCCTAAAATGCACTGCAAACCATTCCCATCCTCCTGCTACTACCTTATATCCTTCGGCAGCAGTTGGCAGCAGCAATCAGCAGCAGTGATTCCCGCCACCTAGAACAACTGATTGGGAGTATTCCGGGAGGCCAATCCAACTGATCAGCTACTCAGCAGTGAAGGCTCCAGTGTTCCCCGGCGCTAGTGAGTGGCAGTGACAGGCAGCGGCAGCGAACGCCGCTGCCAAACCAACCTCCTTTACCCTGCCACAATGTTCGCTCTATAAGATGCACAGACATTTCCACCCACTTTGAGGGGGGGGAGTGCATCTTATAGTTCAAAAAGTACTATCTATAGTAGTACTTTTTGCTCAATGAAAATATCAGAATGTGTATATACAGTAGAGAAAAATCAGAACTACTTAGCTCCTATTTTAGCTCAGTCTTCCCTGAGAAAGTCCTATGTTCATAGAAAAGCAGATACCTGTTTATTTTGAAAGAATTGAAATGTGTATCCCACTAAATCTATTGATTCTAGGATAGTGAAGGAACTTCCTGATAGTTTAACCAACATATGTGATATTTAAGAAAGCTTGACTGATATTAAAACAACCCAAATTTGTCCCTATTTTCAAAAAGAGAGAGAAAAGGGATCCATAGAATCCGGTCACCTGGAAGAGAGTTCTAGAGCAGAACATAAAGAATGTTTGTTTGGTTGTTTAACAAATTTATATAGCTGCCCAATTCACACACATACAACATTAAAAATCCAATGTATACCTCTCCCACATCCTTATCTGTGACAACAGAATCAGACTAAACTCCCCAAACATGCTGACAAAACTATGTTTTCAAAACCTTGCGGAAGAAGAATACAATGGAGACTAGTCTTTTCTCTAATGGAATGATGCTCCAAATGGATGGAGCCACGACAGAAAAGGCCCTTTTTCTAGGTCCCACCAGAGGTACTTCTTGGCACCTATAACATACCCTGTCTTCCTGTTTAGTGGGCAGGTTAAACTACAGATTAAATATAAGCACCTTTAAAACAATGCTATAATTACTGGAAGTATAATTTTGTCAGGGACCATTCTTGCCAAATTCACTATCTCATCATTTTTTATGAGCAACTACCTTAGCTGATTGTAGGAATACTATTTTTGTAATGAATCAATTTTAGTAAAGCATTTGATAGAACATCAATCAGAACTTGATCAATAGTTGATTAATGAACAAGATGGCATTAGCTTTACATGGCTACAAAGCAGAATCAAAACAATTAAAAAATGCTTATTAATCATTTTTATCACATTGAAGTGATAAATGCCACAAGGAGATGTCACAAGAACCATTCCTGATTCACAGACATTTTTTTAATGACTTGTATAAGGAGGTAGAAAGAATGCTTATTAGATGTGCAAATGACACATATTGATGAGATAGACATTTAATTGCTATAGAACATAGAATCATAGAGCAGGAAGGGACCTCAAAAGTCTTCTATCAAACTTCTTGCTCAAGGCAGATGACCACCCCAGTCAAGTGGTTGTCCGGTTTATTCTTGAAAATCTCCAGGATGGAGTACCCACAACTCCTAGAGGCAAGCTATTCCATTAATTAATTGTTCTCGTCACAAATTTTCTCCTTACTTCTAGTTAGGTTTCTCTTTAACAAACTTCCACCCATTATTTTTTGTCCTATCTACTTCGGAAAATAAGTTGATCCCCTCTTGGCATCCCCTCAGGTCCCAGTGGCATCCCCTCAGGTCCCAGAAGACAGATATGTCACCCCTAATTCTTCTCTTTGATAGGCTAGACATACCTAGCTCCCTCAACACTTCATCATATGATTTAGCATCCAGACCTCTTATCATCTTTTTTTTAATTCAAAAAGTTTTTTTATTTTATAAACAAACAATACATAATCAGTCAATATATCTTTGAATACATCTTTTGTGTCTTCTTTTTGCTCCTCCAATATTTATCATATCTTAATATTATTATTTCTTTTATTATGACATTTCCCCCACTTTCCTTACTTCTCTATTAATACATTTATCTATCTTTTAATTTTATTGAAAATTAGACAACCATTTTATCCCCACACAACTTTCAACCCCCCCTTCCCCACCCCCATCCCTGACTTCCCAGAGCAAAAGCAGGGTATAGCATTAAACAAACATAAGCTAAAATATACTAACTTACTACAAGATTCAAAACTCCCTCATACTCTTTAACTCCTCTTTTAAAAATTGTTCATCAGCCTCCCCTTTTGAAGTTCTAATTTAAACATTATAAAACTTTCTTTAAAGCATATCTTTTTAGAAGAAAAAAAAATATTATTTTATATCCATTCAATTTTAAATTAACCATTTTAATACTTCAGTAAGTTTTTAAAAAGATACTTCAATAGACTATTCTTCAGAATATAACCTTAAAGATACTATTAATCCATTGAGTTAAATTATTTCTAACTCTTGAGTTCATTCTTCAAAATATCAATTTCGAAACTTTCAGAAAGCTATCCATTAAGCTTAAAGTTAACCATTTTAATACCTCAGTAATTTTTAAAAAGCTATCCATTTTTAGTTAAACATTTTTACTTAAACTTAAAAAAAATACTAATTTCAGTAAACTTCTTGAGTTCATTCTTCAAAATATCAATTTCAAAACTTTCAGAAAGTTATCAATTAAGTTTAAAGTTAAGCATTTTAATACTTCAATAATTTTTTTAAAAAGCTATCCATTTTTAAACATTTTTACTTAAACTTAAAAAATATTAATTTCAGTAAACTTTTCACATTTATTATTAAAATCCTCCCCAAAAGAAACTAATCTTCAATTCTTCCTTTCTTTCTATATTTTTTCCAGTCCTTCTTCTTCAATAGTACTTTCTTCTTCAACATTGCTCCTCCCCCTGCTTTTATTTTCAAAAAATTTTGAATATAGATTTGAGGCTGATGCTTCTTTGGAAATCATTCTCTTCTAAAAGTTATCTCCTTCAATTTGAAACCTCCATTTCGATTCTTCCTGCTTATATAATCAGTCACTTCCTTCCTTGAAAATTGATTCTGTCTATCAAGCCAAAAATTGTCACAATAAAGTTTATCAGTCTGCAGGAAAGAGTCTATTTGCTGCTTTTCAGTTAACTGCATAGAAGCTTCTGCCAAAACCTCTGTTTTCAGTGTGCTAACTTCCATCGTGATCCTGACAGCCTCTTTTTCCTGCTCCAAAGTCGAAATAACTTGATTTTCTTCCTCTTTTCCAGTCAGCAAATTATTGTTGTTCTCCAGATTATAATTTTGAATAGTTCTTTCAACTGATTCCAATATAACAGAAGTATAAAAATTTAAGAGTTCTTGTAAAACCTTTACAGTCACAACTTGTGAATTTGCTGGCTCATATAATAATGATCCTCCATCCTTGATGTCAGCCATATTTCAATTTCCACTTTAAATTTATTCAGCTGTCAGGTCAATAAGTCCAATAATTTTCCACACAATTTAGAAGTATAAAGTAGTTGGGTCAGCACCATAGTCTTTTTCATTTCACTAGCACTTTAAATCTTTTTCTTGCCACGTAATCCAGTAGCTTTTACAATGTTGCAGCTTTAATGATCACTTTCACTGGTAAGTTTCATTTTAACGCCCTTAAGCGCCATCTTTTTTCTTTTTCTTTTAAACGGAGTTAAAGTTTAATACTTGCATTTTCTGTTCTCCTGATTTTGCTCTGCCAGCGTCCAGGTTCAAATTTTCTCATAATCCTTAAAATTGCTCTGCTGGTGTGGTCGCAACCCCTTGTTCTGCATAAAGCAGAATCATCCCGGATCCGGAGCACTGAAGGGTTTTCAGGGAGCTCTCACCTTGCAAACCCCAGGCTTAAAAAAAAAAGCCTGGGGGTCTAGGGGAGCTCTACCCAGACCCTTCTGCTCTTCTCTCCCCCTTTTTCCCTGGGGGAGAGTTTTGAGCTGCTAGAACAGCTGATTTTTGCTGTTTTAGCGGCAAACGGAATCACAGGGCTGGAGCTCCTAAAGGAGCGTCCAAACGGGGAACGCGGAGCCACCGGAAGTCCAGACCTCTTATCATCTTTGTCTTCTCTTCACACTTTCTAGGATCTCAGCATTTTTTGTTTCATGATGGCCAGAACTAGACTTAGTATTCCAAATGTGGCCTCACTTATCACTTCTTGTGATCTTGATGCTAACCTTCATATTAACTTCTTGATATTAATCTGCTGATGCAGCCTAGAACTGCATCACGTTTTTTGGTAGCCACTGCACACTGTTGACTCATACTTAAGTGGTAGTCTACTAGGATACCCAGATCCCTCTCATAGTTACTATTGCTGAGCCAGGTACCACCTATATCTACACATTTGGTTTTTCCTGCCTAAGTGCAGGACTTTACGTTCCTTAAACTTCTTCTTCTTTTGCTACAACCCAGTGTTCAAGTCTGTCAAGATCCTTCTAAATCTATCTTCCACAATATTAGCAATTCCCCCAGCTTGATGTCATCTGAAATTTAATTAATGCTCCTTCAGTTCCTTTATCTTGGTCATTAATGAAGTGTTAAAGAGTACTGGGCCTAAGACAGAAGTTTGAGGTAACCCACTGCATGTTTCCCACTAGGTTGATATAGTATCATTGAGGGCTATGTGCCCTGTGTGGTTCGTCAGCAACTGTGAATCCCATCTGGTTGTGGTATTGTCTATCCCATATTGCTCTATCTTATCAAGATATAGACTGTGCTTTACTTTGTCAAATGTCTTACTGAAATCCAAGTATACTATGTCCACAGCATTTTCCCGATCCACTAATTTAGTCACTTTATTAAAGAAGGTAATATTTGTCTGGAGTGAATCTGTTTTTGAGAAACCGTGGCTGCTATAATTGCCTAGTGGATTTTTCCAGGTATTGCTGTCAAACTAGTTGGCTTATAATTTCCTGGATCCATGTTTTCTCTTTTTGTCTATTGAAACCATCTCTGCTCTTTTCTAGTCCTTTGTGCTAAATTAAATAATGGCAGTGGTATCTAAAATGTTGGCCCATCAATATTTAGTTAGTTGAATTTCATCCCGTCAAATGGCTCTCAGTGATTTTATCTGGTCCATCTATCTAGGGGGCCACATGTCTGCAAGCTTCATCTTTCTAATTTATGTCATTAAATTAATGTTTATTTTTCCCTCCCCAATGTGGATGTTTTGGTAATTTTTGATTGTTTCTGTTACTTCTGTTATTTAATACAATCATCCTATCTAGATAACTAGATGTCTTTTGAATTTTTTTTCAGAAAATGACTGTTGAGTGCCATCGTAGAGTTGTTATGGAATATATCAAGGCTGTAATGTTAAAGCGTATTACTTTTAAAAATGCAGAAGAAAGAAAAGAAGGTGCTGAAAGGATGAACAGGGAAGCCAAACAGTTCAGGTTTCTATTTAAAAAACTCGCAGCAGTAAGTACCATCAATAGAATGCTAAAAAAGGAAATGTATATAATTGGCATTTTAAAATATTATTCTCCAGCATCAATATAATTATACATAGATGTCAATATTTTATTTTTTTATTGGTTGACAATTAGTGTGATTTCTATAAATTCATTATAGGTAATGTTTGATTACAACCAAAATTTAGCCTGGAATTTTCAGTTGCTGAGTGAAGTCGTTATTAAGTGAGACATTATATGACCACTTTGTTTAACAACTGCAATCCCAGCTCTCCCAGTAGCTGTGCTAAACAATTGTGCAGCTTATTAAGGGGAGCACAAGGAGTGGTTCAGGGGTTTGGGGAGGTCTGGTACAAGCTACAGGATCCTCTGTTGGGCAAAAGCCTATCAGAGGCCAGAGGACTTGGACATTCTTCCCACTCCAACATTCCCAGAACGCCTCAGCTGGTTACAGATCCAGCAATGCATATAAATTGTTCCACTTACTTTCATATTTTCTGCACTGCTTACAGTTGCACTCATCTGATGCAAAGCACTGTCTTCCTACAAAGTCTGCCTTGCATCATTTTTGGGATTGTTTGGAAGGCTCCTTTCAAACCATTGCATGATTTGGAAAAGCAGCTTTCCAAATGAACATTAGCTTGCAGCTTGCAGAATGAAGAGAGGTGGTCTTTATATGAAGGCTGTGAAATCTCAAGAATGGTGGCAACCCTTCTGATCATTCAGAAGACTAGAAAGAGTCTCTGTATTCCCCTGAACAATCACCTTTATTAGTTCTTTAGTCTAGTTCTTTCTAGTCTAGAAAACACAGAAATCTAGCAAAGGCAATTCTTTGGGAGGCTACTTTCTAGCCTTCTGAACTATTGCAATACTAATTCATGTTCTTGTAATTTATCAATTTGTTTATTTTCAATGTAATTCAATTTCATGTAATTAAAACAAACTAATAGGGGCTATGCACAATTCAAATATGATTTGAAGAAAGATTCAAAGAAGCTTTGGATTTTATGTAAGTAAAGCATGTGTTATTCTCTGTAGTTTATGTGTCTTTTCAGTTTTGTACATGGACCTGAAAAAACATTGCAACTGCCTTAAAAATAAGAATTTTTTGAAAACATTTTCAAAGCATGTTAAGCCCTAGAATTCAGTATTTCATTATGGTTCACAATGATGTTTAATCATTTGTTTCTCTAGATAAACACCTTGTTCTAAAAAGATGATAAAACAATTATATTTATTCATATATTAAATATTTTCTCAAATCTGGAATGTAACTTTGCCAAATAATGAATTTGAAAATATGTTGTTATAGTAGAGTAATTTTAAGTTTTTTAGCTTAAAAGTTGTGTCATTACATTCAGATATATCTTATAACCCTTAATAAAAGTGCATAATATGAATTGAAATAAATGAAAAGGAATTATTCTTTCACTGGATTCTTCCTTCCTTCCTTCCTTTCCTTCCTTCTTTCCTTCTTCCTTCCTTCTGTGAAAACCAGGATGAATACTGATATTTGATTGTTCATTTAATATAAACATATTTTCTTTAAAATATTTATTGTCATTCATTGTCATTAAGATAGCCATATAGTAATCAAGTATATTTAGTGTGCTGGAATAAAATCATTGCAGTCTTGATGAAACAGCTGGAAACAATAATTTATTGATTAATAGGGATCTGGAGAAGACACAGAGGGGCTTTGTGATGTCATTGAAGCTATTGCAGAAGTTTTCAAGCTAACTGATCCTTCCCTGCTTTATTTAGAAATCTCAACTTTAGTTAGTAAACATCCTGATATCAGGTAATATTATACATTTCTAGAATTGAAATTTCTGCATTATTTCAATCATAAAAACACTTTACAAAAACTTGAACAAAATCTTTAGCTTTGTTTTTTTTCTTCCTACATAAAAGTTTTTAACTAAAAGAGGTCCCAATTAAAAGAGATTTTATACAGTTCTTCATTATTTCAATTTCTGGATAATATAATATGTAACCACATGTAAATAATATTTGTTTTAAAAATATTTTTAGTTTAATCCAAAAAACTGATTATTTTTTTTATAAAATAAGCATAGAATATATATATATAGGCTTTTATATTTAAATTTAGAAAGATGTATGGTGGGTAGCTGAATGGTTTATTATTTCCCTATAAACAATATTGATTCTTCTCTGTGGAATGTGCTTCACTGCCATTTAAATGTCCATGGAGATTCTTAGTCATCCAGGTCATGGTTGTTCCAAAGATGTTTTTCAAGAGGCAACTAAACTTACTGGTTTTTCTTTGAAGACCTTTTGCTTCTCATCCAAGACGTTTCTTCAGCTATGATTGAATAGTGGGGAAGCTGGTCATTCATAAACACAGGGTGCAACAGAAGAATAAACCCATCAGGACAAGATTCAGCAGTCCATCTGCATTTAAAAGACAAAGGCCACTCTTTTGAAGACAGCAAAGTCCATATTTTGGACCACTGGTTTGAAAGAGGAGTCAGAGCCTATCTATGTTAAAATTGAACAGACGTCTCTCAACAGAGGGGGAGGGATATGACATCTATCTCCAGTCTACCACACAGTACCTTCAACAGTTCCAAGAAGGTTCCACACTCATTTGCACTATTCAGGTGACCCTGAAGACATAGACGAACCTCCAAACGGACTCAATGACTATCTAAAAAGAATGCAAATGACCAGCTGTCTGCAAGGAATATAAATCCTTCCATTCCACACCATGCAGTCAGAGTGAAGCTTTTTGGATGAGAAGTGAAATGTATTCAAAGAAAAACAAGGAAGTCCAGTTGCCTCTTGAAAAAGAACTTTGGAACATTGCCATTTAATCTTCCATTGCTGAAAATGGGCACATAAAAGCAAAGCTAATTGGGTCAGGAAAGATTGGGCCAGAGGTGGTTAATTGGAGGGCAAAACCAGCAATGACATGATTGTGCAACTCCTTAACAGGAATCATGGTGTTAAAGTACAAACCATTTGCCAAATGCCCAGTTTGCAATCTGATGACAGCAGAAGTGCTTTGATATCCGAAACTCTGAAGTTGTAGCCATCATTTGTTCATCCCTGTCATAACTTTTAAGTTGTCATTGAATGAATGGTCATAGGTTGAGGAGTAACTGTAAAAATTTAATAAAAATTAAGTGGCTGTGATTGAAATTCTTCGTTATCCCAATAGGCCTGAAGTACAAGATAAATATAGAAATGAACAGATTAACTGGTGGGTAATAAATAAAAGTCTAATCACTATATCTCAATGAAGGCTTTCTTAAGTACAAGTGATTTAAAAAGTTGACCAGTGAGTTCATTTTATGAGATGGCAAGAATTCTTTAATGCAGCATGTGTGGTATGAAAAGTGCCAATTGCTGGTTTCCATAACTAGGATTTTTACTAACACTACTTTATTCTGATTGGCAGAGATGACCATATTGCAGCTTTATTAACAATGAGAGGAGATGCCAGCAGAGAGATGAAGCAGACGATCATTGAAACTTTGGATAAAGGCCCAAGCCAACCAAATCCAAACTATGTGCCACTTTTTAAAGAAATTATAGTTCCAACATTAACTGTGCCAAAGCTTCTTAAGTAATAACAGTAGTTCATGTCAAATTTACAATGTTTTAGCTTACAATGCATATAGAGAAATATGAATTTCTTGCAAAGCTTTTTTATCCTATGTTAACGCTTGTAACAAGATATAAGAATACCTAATTCAGTCACTGAAAAAGTATATAATATGATGTCCAAGAGTGTTTTAGAATTGCATCTTTACTATTATTAGTGAATCCCCCCTCACTTGCATTTTTGTGTGTATTTCAGGAAAAATAAAGAGAGTCAACTTAAAGATACTTGTGTTAGGTATTTGCTTAATAAATGAATAGCACTGGTGTTGCATTTTTGAATTCTGTGCAGATTATTTGGCTGTCCTTTTATGAAACATTTATTTAAATACTTATTACAAAAATTTATGTAAAAAAAGGAGGAATGAACAGAAGAATGCAAAATTGTATTACAGCTAATCCTTGTTTAGCAATCACAATTTGGTCCAGAAATTCAGTAATCAGGCATAACAGTTGCTAAGTGAAAATTACATTACCTTGTAAGTATTTACTAAGTACACCATTACCATGACTGTACTTACTATTTTACTTCAGTTTTCCTTTGCTTGATACTTCCTTCAATTGAACAGAGGTTCTTTCTATTTGAGATCCTGGTATGAGGTAAATAAGCAAGTAAAAATAAGGGGAGAGAGATAACTGCAAAAGGCTGTAAATGCAACTGTTGGTCCCTAAATTGCCTTTTTACTATTGTAACTTCAAATACTAAATGAAGCAAATCACTAAGTGAAGACTACCTATAATTATAAATACTGTGCTATCATTTAGAATTAGAGGGGACAATTTAGTATATCAATCCAAAATCTTGCTCAATTTATTTCCCCAATAAATTTCCACTCAGTTTCTGCTTCAACATACCCAGCAAAGGGAAGCATACTATCTGTCTAGATAGTTTGTAATGGACAAACTGCTCTTACCAAAATGACACTCATTGTGGGGATAGCCAGTCCCCAAATTCCAGATTACATATAAACTATGGAAATTGGGACACTATAACGGTTTATCTGGATCCGTTCCAGTTGGGCTTCAGGCCTGGGTACAGCACGGACACGGCATTGGTTGTGTTGGTGGATGATCTCTGGAGGGCTCAGGACAGGGGTTGTTCCTCTGTCCTGGTCCTATTAGACCTCTCAGCGGTTTTTGATACCATCGACCATGGTATCATGCTGCACCGGTTGGAAGAGTTGGGGGTGGGGGGCACTGTGTTGCGGTGGTTCTTCTCCTTTCTTTCCAACCGGTCGCAATCTGTGTTGGCAGGGGGGCAGAGGTCAATCCCGAGGCTCCTTATATATGGGGTGCCACAAGAGTCAGTCCTCTTGCTCCTTCTGTTCAACATTTATGTGAAGCCACTGGGTGAGATCATCCGTGGTTTTGGGGTGAAGTACCATCAGTACGCTGATGATACTCAGCTGTACATCTCTACCCCAGACCACCCCAATGAAGCCCTTGATGTGATGTCCCGGTGCCTGGAGGCCGTGCGGATCTGGATGGGGAGGAACAAGCTCAGACTTAACCCTTCCAAGACCGAGTGGCTGTGGTTTCCGGCGTCCCAATATAGTCAGCTGGTTCCATCGCTGACTATTGGGGTGAGATCTTGTCCCCCTCAGAGAGGGTTCGCAACTTGGGTGTTCTCCTGGATGCACAACTGTCCTTGGAAGATCATATGACGGCCGTGGCCAGGGGAGCTTTTTATCAGGTTCGCCTGATACACCAGTTGCGTCCCTTTCTGGACCGGGATGCCCTCGTCCCATCCCGTCTGGACTACTGTAACGCTCTCTACATGGGGCTCCCCTTGAAGAGCGCTCGGAGGCTCAGAGGCTCCGGCCGCGCGGGTGGTTATGGGGGCGACTCGGTGCACCCACATAATACCCCTCCTGCGCGAGCTGCACTGGCTCCTGGTGGTCTTCCGAGTGCGATTCAAGGTGTTGGTCACCACCTTTAAAGTGCTCCATGGCTTAGGACCGGGGTATATACGAGCCCACCTGCTGCCAGCAATAGCCTCCCACCGGCCAATACGCTCCCACAGAGAGGGGCTCCTCAGGGTGCCATCGGCCAGACAATGCCGACTGGCGACACCTAGGGGGAAAGCCTTCTCTGTGGGGGCACCAGCCCTCTGGAATGAGATGGCCCTTGAGATTCGTCTCATCCCCGACCTGCGTACCTTTCGCCGCGCCTTGAAGACCCTCTTGTTCCAACAAGCCGGCCTGGCCTAATACGAATTTTAGAATGGGTGTATGTGTGTTTTAATCTATGGGCCAAATTTTTATATATTCAATTTTAAATTGTTTTAAATTTTGTATATTTATATGTATTTTAATATGGCTGTACACCGCCCTGAGTCCTTCGGGAGAAGGGCAGTATAGAAATCTAATAAATCCTAAATCTTAAATCCTCATAACTTGTGTAATAAAATTGAGCAGCAATCTGGACAATCGATATAATTTCTCTCTCTTCACCCTCATTTTTACCAAGAAATGAAATTAATAGTTGAATTAATGTTCCAAAACTAATTTAAAATACTTCAGAGTGCCCCTAAAAACACACACATTCTCATGAGATCAATGCTTTATCCAGTGATTAAGCATTTTAAAAAATTAAAGGTGCAGTCTTCAGCTGTTGAAAGTTTATCGCTACACAAAAGCATTAATGAATCTTAACCCATAATTTTCTGATTCAACTGGATAGGACTTGGTTATGCTTATATGATACATATAATGGTTATGCAACAATTTTTTGAAGTCTCACAAAATTTTCTTTTCAGTGAAAGTAAACAGAATTTTAAATCATAATACGGTTTATTATTTTTGGCTTAGCAAGAGCATAGTCAATTAGTTTTTCAAGAAACAATAAAAAAAGCAATATTTAGCCTAATGTAGGAGCTCACTAATTCACATAAAGAATGCCCACATTATCATTAATATTGTATCATATTAATATAATTATATATTACTATATGTTAATATAATATTAACATTACTAATACATTAAAACATTTTCTACTAGACATATTTTGTTAGTTTCAGTGAGGAGAATCAAAAATATTTCTAAAGAATAAGCATTAACTGGAGTCAGAAAAGCATATGAAACTGGTTTGCTTATTGATAAATTATGATTAGCAAGTTGTGTAAACACTCATTGGATGAATATTTCATCTTGTGTATATGGTAAAGAAAAAACCATGAAAAGATGGAAAACAGACTATCCCGCCTAAATCCTTCATATACACTCAAGCTGTATGACAGCACACCTTATTTTTTTTAGAAGCACGCTGAGAAAGAAAAAGTATTGTTAACTTCTTGAATGAAGAACAATTTCAGGGAGAATGTAGGAAGAGACAGAGGCAGAAACAAGGAAAAGAAATTATGGTAGATGTGTCTGCACTCCCACAACATGCTAAATTAAAATGTGTTTGACTTGTTCGTAGTTTATTGTTAGTGCAAAACTAGGCAGAGAATACATGTATGATGGTGTGTTATGCAAAACCCACAAGTGGTTTGTTAAGTGAACTGTGGACTAGTGTATGAATTTAAACTTGGAGTGCATGAGTGTAGGTGTTTCAATCAGTTCACATAGCAAGGGTTCCTATCAAAATGTTAATAGTGATGGCTAAATGTACATAACATGCTGAGGTATGATTTGTTGAATAGTTAAGTGAATAAACTGTACCGTCTAAATCAGCCATGTCCAATCCAAGGCCACATGTGGCCCTGGGCAGCTAGTTCTGTGACTCCACAAAACTCTAATAAAAAATATTAAAAAATAAAATTTGTTATTTGTATACATTAACTACATATTTTATATGCAACAATTCCTCTTTACTCAGTGTGGCCAAGGCAAGTGAAAAAGGTTGCATACACCTATGCTAGATCATACAAAAAAAAAAAAAATCATATACCAGTTTAGTGTGTTGTGTCTTCATATGTGCTTTGTAGGATTCCTTCATTCCTCGAATCAATGGTTAGATTTGCATATATCACTGGCTACATTCATGCAAATAGTGAATTTGCCAACTATATTTTAATCTTGAGTGTCATGCTAACACAGCCAGTGAAAATGAATGTGATTCATCAAAACTATTTGCATATCTTATTAAGCCAAATCAAACCATATGATTTAATTCATCAAAGGCAGCAATGAGTCTTTGCTTGGGCCCCCAAATTTGGGCTGCAATCCAGGTAACACCACTTGGCAGCAAAGCAGAAAAATCCTTTATTGCCTTCTATTGGTGGTCCTGGTATCTATAAACCAGCTCTAATACCTCCGAGGACTTCCATAACCCTGTGTCTCAAGCTTGGCAAAATTAAACTGATTGGCTGGGGAAATCTGGAAGTTTGAAGTCCACACATCTTAAAGCTGTCAAGTTTGAATCACTGCCCGAAATGATGAAGTAATCACACCGTTTGACAAATATTCCATTATGTGCATAGTTAGATTTAACTGGGTAGTAACCATATGTTAGGGGAATTGGCTCACACAAACATACTTAGGCCAAGCCCATGTTTTTTTTCCAGTCACGCTTGGATGGATTTAGACAACACCTTCAAGCACAAAAAACGCAGAAGAAATCGGCTTCAAAACCTTTTAGTCCAGCCCCTTCTCAGAATTCCGCCTGCCGAATTGGGTGCGTCATAATTCGTGTCAGAGAAGCAGAGGTGGCTGGTTCCTCTTTTCCCACCGAAGCTCGGACTGAAACCCGGAACTGGTTTTGAGAAGGCCTCTTCCTTAACGAGAAGGGGTGGGGTTGATTTTCTTTTTTTCGCAGCTAGTCTGATGCGGCATGGCGTCTACAGGCATGCCTGACCCGAGCTTCTTGTGGGGAGTCTTCCAAAGGTGAGTCGTGTGAAGTTTCTCTTTTTCTCTCAGGAAGAGGAGCGATAAAGCTGGATCGTGGAATGCGCCCTCGCCTCCCTCCTTTTGCGCCGGGAATTCTTGATTTGAGTCTTCTTTGCTCCTGTTCTTGGCCCGCGTCGTAATTGGAACATTTTCTTGTGCTTAATTTCAGGGTTGATAAAGACCGTAGCGGTATCATCTCCGACACCGAGCTCCAACAAGCACTTTCAAATGGTAGGATGTCCTCTTTACTCCCTAGAAGTGCTGCTCTGGTGATAAGAACGCCGGTTGCGTTTACACAACTCCGTTTTTTAATGTTTCATTTAACTATACTGCGTTTGGTTAACCCAGTTGTTGAATTCGTGTACCTTGCTAAATTCAAACGTAGTTTGTTACTCGGTGCTTTAATGTTTCTGGAGAGCACATTATCTCTCCCTCTCCTCTGTGATGTTGTATAACAGGAATATTTTCTTAGTGCAATATGAATAATCAAAACCCGGGAATATAAATTAATTAAATTCAGTGATAGCAACTGGAACCTGATTAATCAATTCCTAGAAAAATATCCTTTATGTAATGACACTGGGATTCTAAAACTAAAATTCAGTGTAGCTCATTTATAAATTAATTACACCCTTTTGGTTTTCTACTTATAGTTATAAATTTTGATTAGAATGATATCACGCTAAATTATTTTTCTAGGAAAATATGGAGACAAAATTCAATCTTTTATTATTTCTATTGCAAATTGTCTAGAGATTTTTGAGAGGAAAGAGCACAACCTACTGCTCTCAAATAGCTAAAGAGGGCAGGTTTGGTTATTTCCTAAAGAGGAGTCACCAGAAATTCCAAAGATTAAATAAAAACTTCAAAAGAACATTCCATAGGAAGGCAATGGCAATTTTCTTGTTACAGCTAAGAAAATTTTATGAGCATGTCCAAGTAGTCACCAGGCGTCATTCAGCTTCTGGGATAGTTTACCTTTTTAAATTAAAAGACTTTTTGCCTATGGTAGCCTTCAAATGGAGATATGTGTGACAACTAAGACAATTCAGAATATTTAGTTGAAACAAAACAGTTAATAGTTAATCACAAAAAGGATGAAAATCCTAGTGATTGATTAATTTTAAAGAACAGTGAAGCAATTGAGTATAAAGAAATATACAAACTTGTGAAAGGTTGTTTCAAAGCTGGTGCCACTAAATATAATAAAGTTTTATAGGAGGGTTTTTAAAATTTGTTTTAACTGCTGAAGGATTTTACTATGACATTCTTTGATAATTTGATTAAAGAAGAGATTTATTATAAAAAAATACCTGAATATTATTTTCCAGTTATATATAACAAATGCAGAAATATTTTCTTTGTTGTATTCCAATAATACAGCATGAAGACAATTTTGAAATAATGTAGTTTTTAGTTTGTGGTGAATCATGTAAAGAAAAGATTTTGTAACATCTTTAAAGAAAAGATTACAGAAAGTTTGTGATAATGAACTGAAATAAGTGGAAGAAACAGCTTTACTTTGTGTTTGCTCAAATCATGTTTCACAATATAAGAATTTTAAGAATTAGTATAGCATCTTGAAAGTTATAACAGTATTTATTATGACTGACATCAGAAAGTACTGTTGAAAAGGTCATGGACTCGGGCAATGAGATTCTTCCGCCAGATCACATTTTAAGTTTATTAATCCTTTTTTTTTTTTGTTTAGTTCCCAATGTCTTAAGAGGATTTTTTTATTGTCCAGGTTTCTGTTTCCATACAATCAACAAACTTGAGATATACAGTTGCAAGAAAAAGTATGTGAACCCCTTGGGATTATGTGGAATTTTGCATGAATTGGTCATAAAATGTGCTCTGAACTTCATCTAAATCACAACAATAGAAAAACACAGTCTGCTTAAAATAATACTACACAAACATTAGATGTTGCCATGGTTTAATTGAACATAACATGTAAACATTCACAGTGCAGGGAGGAAAAAGTATGTGAACCTTTGGACTTAATAACTAGTTGACCCTCCTTTGGCAGCAATAACCTCAACCAAACGTTTCCTGTAGTTGCAGATCAGACCTGCACAACGACCTGGAGTAATTTTGGACCACTCCTCTTCAGAAAACTGTTTCAGTGTAGCAATATTCTTGGAATGTCTGGTGTGAATCGCTCTCTTAAGGTCATTCCACAGCATTTCAATCGGGTTGAAGTTAGGACTCTGACTGGGCCACTCCAGAAGGCGTATTCTGTGCTGTTGAAGCCATTTTTTTGTTGAATTACTTGTATGCTTTGGGTCATTGTCCTGTTGCATCACCCATCCTCTGCGGAGCTTCAGTTGGCGGACAGATGGCATACGTTTTCCTGCAAAATGTCTTGATAAACTCTGGAATTCATTTTCCCATCAATGACAACAATCCGTCCAGGCCCTGAGGCAGCAAAGCAGCCCCAAACCATGATTCTCCCTCCGCCATGTTTTACAGTGGGGATGAGGTTTTGATGTTGGTGTGCTGTGCCTTTTTTTCTCCATACATAGTGTTGTGTGTTCTTCCCAAGCAACTCAATTTTGGTTTCATCTGTCCACAGTATATTTTGCCAGTAGTGCTGTGGAACATCCAGGTGCTTGTTTGCAAACTTCAAACGTGCTGCAATATTTTTTTTGGACAGCAATGGCTTCCTCCGTGGTGTCCTCCCATGTACTCCATTCTTGTTTAACGTTTTGCTTATTGTAGATGTGTCAACAAAAATGTTAGCATGTGCCAGAGATTTCTGTAGGTCTTTAGCTGACACTCTAGGATTCTTCTTTACCTCATGAAGCATTCTGCGCTGTGCTCTTACAGTCATTTTTACCGGACAACCAAGCCTAGGGAGAATAGCAACAGTGCTAAACTTTCTCCATTTGTAAACAGTCTGTCTTATCGTGGACACATGAACATCAAGGCTTTTGGAGATACTTTTGTAACCCTTTCCAGCTTCATGCAAGTCAACAATTCTTGATCGTAGGTCTTCTGAGAGCTCTTTTCTGCTAGGCATGGTTCACATCAGACAGTGCTTCTTGAAACCAGTAAACCCAAAACAGGTGTGTGTTTTTAAAGGGCAGTACAGCTGTCAGTAACACATCCAATATCATCACACTGATTGGAGTCAAGATTGACTCACTCCTGGCTCCAGTTAGCTCTTGGAGAAGTCATTAGGCTAGGGGCTCACATACTTTTTCCTCTCTGCACTGTGAATGTTTACATGTTATGTTCAATTAAACCATGGCAACATCTAATGTTTGTGTAGTATTATTTTAAGCAGACTGTGTTTTTCTATTGTTGTGATTTAGATGAAGTTCAGAGCACATTTTATGACCAATTCATGCAAAACTCCACATAATCCCAAGGGGTTCACATACTTTTTCTTGCAACTGTAATTGCAATATATTTGTGTACACCAGGGGTGTTAAACTTGATTTCATTGAGAGCTGCATCAGGGTTGTGTTTGACTTCAGGGGGCCGTGGTGAGTGTGGCCAGCTCGACATCATGTCGAGGGCGCCTGTGGTAGCCTGAGTGCTCTGCCAGAGAAAACGGGTTCCTGAGCTCCATTTTCGGCTGTGACAGCCTCTTACAACCCTCTGCCAACGAAAATGGAGATCCATTTTCGCTGGCAGAGGCACCATGGGCTGGTCCTTTACTGTTTCCAGGGTGATCCCGCGGCCAGATCTAAGCACCCTGTGGGCCAGACCCAGCCCCTGGGCCTTGAGTTTGACATCCCTGGTCTACACTGAGGTTTAGGAAAAGGATATACTTGTTTATTCTATTATATCTAAAAATTGCAATTCTTTTTAATTTTGTGTCAGAAATGGAAACTATCATTCAATGTCCTTTTATATATGGGATGAAGCTTGTATTGCAGTGCTCTGTCCAACCTATTGCCAATTTTGGATATTCATACCTTCAATAAATGCTGATGAAATGTCTTGTCATGCTCATACGTAGTGTCTCATGTGATTAATGGAAATAGCATTATTCATCTCCATTTAGAATACTGTAGACTAATTAATATTCAGTGTGTAACATGACTACAAAAAAAGCAACAGTTTTAATTTCTTTTTTGTTGGCCAACATTACTTTCAGCATTGTATCCAACATACTAACCATATGTGAATAATTAGGGTAATCTGGACAAACCAGTGCAGAAAAATTAAAAGTGATTGATGACTAGAAATTATAGAGGAAGATGGAAGTAATCAGGAATATTTAATTTTGAGAAGACAGAACCACGCATGGACAGAATGGGTAGCATTCTGCAGTAACATGAAAGGAAACTACATTATTCCATGACCGGCCCTTTGTCATTACAAAGGGCAGGTCAAGGAATATGGGCTTAAGTAACAAGAAGACAGAGTTCAGTTGATTATTAAAAATATTGGGGTCCATTTTGCTGATCTCCATTGAATATGTTGTTTTCTATTGATGCATATATATAGATCAACATCAACATCTATAATTTAGAGGATATAAAGCAACGATTAAACTTATTACAAAAAACTACAGGTATATGAGGAAAAAATGAATAATAGAAATATTAAAACATTCAAAAGGAATGATTTTACTTATGAAATTGGATAAATACTTGGAAAATAAGGGTATATTTTTAAAAAATCAGATTTAGGGGATTTCCTACATCTGATTTAATTGAAGTGTGTAAAACCAAAAGAAAGAGAATTCCCATCTAGTGGGAGTGGGAGGACTACATCATCATGTTATACCATGATTTGCATGATTGTGAGGAAACCATTCCTGGAAAGTTGAAGGGGGGGAACAGTAGGCTGTAAGGAAAATGAAGACTGTGCTTTCCATTAAAATATTTTTTCTTCATATAGTTTTGCTCCTGTTACCTCAGGATACATATTGTGGAGTGTAACTTGAACAGGTACTGATGAGACAGGTTACCAGTAAGTAGTTTGGCTACTCAGTTCAATACAAAATATCTTCAAAGAAATTTGAAATTTGAAATCTGACTTATCTGCTTCTACAGCCTAGGTCTAGGACTGATGGTGAAACTATGGCACGTGTGCCGGAAGTGGCACACAGAGCCATTTCTCTGGGCACATGGAGCTGTTACCCGTTGCTTTTCCGGGTTCTGGCGTGTTGGCCAGCTGGTCTTCATGCGTGTGGGAGCACCAGAAACCGGAAGATCATCTTCCCAGCATGCGCATGAGCACTGGGCGGCTGCTCTTTCAGTTTCTGGTAT